TCTCTCTCTCTCTCTCTCTCACTGGATGAAGTCTTTCAGACACTGGATGAGGCTTTTCAAACACTGGATGAAGGTGGTTGCAGGGTCGGGTCGGGAAATCCGCGAGTCCTTCGGTCGGGGACAAAAGACGGAGTTTCCTTTTTCATCGACTCCTACGCTCGAACCCGGGAAACAATAGACGCTTTCATGTTTCGTGAATCGAGCGTGGAAACGCGGTGAGAAAATTCGAGGAAGGACGAGAGAAATTTCAAGTTTCCCCTCTGGCAGGCGGAAGTTTGTCCTCGTGCCCGGCGGCCGGCACGGTCGACAGGGGGCAAACCGAGGGAAAGGGAAAGCTCGACGTGTTTCTATCGTTACGATGGAACGTAACGCATCTGTGTGTGTAAATGGGATAATCATTTCGGGTGATGAGGCAGCGATTTCATTGAGGAGTCGTGGGATCAGAAAAAAAAGGCATCTTATTTCCCCCTTCTCAGATTTTAATGACGAGAAAATTAATATCCACCGGGGAATAATAAAAAAAAAGGGAACAATAAAAAAAAGGACAGGGAAGTGACTCCCACACAAAATTGAGGCACAATGCTTCATATAGGCCTAGCGCTTCTTTCTCACGGATATGTGGAAGAGATTCCATACAGACAAAAAAAGAAACGTTTCAGTTCCCTGATATGCACTTGAAGAGAAAGACTTCAAACGTCACCGAGCAAAAAAAAAAAAAAAACTCCTAATGACATGAACACAATGATGATGGGAAGAATGCATTCTTTCTATTTCTCATCACGGGTCATTATGGCACTGAAATCCAATGCAAAATTATGGCACTCTCATGAGTGTAATTTATTGGACGAGACATTTAATCGGTACGGAAATACTTAATACATAGACCTATATCTTACCGGGGATACACCGGGGTTCTTCCATTTGTGAAAATTACAAAAAAAATAGAGAAGAATCAGAAAGCCATGCTTTTCTGCTATAGGACTCTATGGCACTGAGGAAAGAATTCACGGCGTGTTTTGATCACTGAAATCGGAGCTGAAGTTGAGGCTTTCGCCGTCGGACTCGAGGAGGATGTCCAGGGGATCCGAGAAGCCCAGGTCACTGAGGACGTCGGGGAAGGAACATTTCAAATTCAGGAGATCATTGGCACAGAAGTCACTCTGGTCGAAAGCCAGCAGGTCTTCGAGGCATTTTGAGGGAGCCTCGTTCGAGTCCGCGACTGCACTGGGCGCCGAGTCTTGAGGTACTGAGGCGTCCATGGAGGTGGTTGGGGGGGGGTGGGGGTGGGGGTCTCGGGTCCGGGGTCCTCCGAGTCCAAGACGTCGCTCAGAGCGTTGATGTAGTTGATGGCCAGCCTCAAGATCGTGATTTTGGTCAACTTGTGGTCGGTCTTTTGGGCCGGGAACGGCGGGATGGCTCGTCGCAGGGCCTCGAAGCCGTCGTTGATCTCCTTCATCCGGAAACGTTCCCTCGCGTTCGCGTTCTTCCGACGGTATTTGCTCAACGGTGGAGCCCGGCTCCTCTGTCGCGAAGAGGATTTCTTCGAGGGCTTGGGTTTGACGGGGGAAATTGGCTCTTCTTGCTCTTGTTGCTGTTGTTGCTGCTTTTGCTGCTTTCGGCGCTCTTGCGTTTCGATCCTGTTCAGGATCGACCTCGGTCGCAGGCTGTATTTTTCGCACTTGAGGACTTGCTCTTCCGACTGGGGTTCGTTTTCTTTCTGGTTCTCCTCCATCTGAGCGGAACGACGCAAGATCGAACGTTAAAAACACCCGACCGTCTGCAGTCTAGAATCACAAGTATCGTCTGTACACAGATCTGGCGTTTCAAGGTGGATGAATACGTCGGAAGATAAGAGAGGGGGTCGATCTAGCTCGTAAATAAAGACACCACCCAATTAAATCAAACGCGCGGATCCTCCGAAAATGGCGAGATAAGAACGTCTGTCAGACAACTTGGAACTGTCTCCAACCGTCGAAGATCAAAATCGAACCATCCGAGACCCGACACTGGTCCAGGGACTCCTAATTGGCTTGCTTAGTCCATTTATAGGAGAAACGGATACGCGAGACGGCCCGGCAAGTTTTTGCTCCTCAAAACCTCTTCTGAGTCATAGTTGTCAGCGAACCCTTCATGGGGGTTCCCTGACACGAGGGCTCGCGCTCCACACTCCGTTTCATTCAACCTCATGAGGGAATTGTCCACTTTTCGCATCGGTAATGTGAAATGGTCGGAAGCGTGAATCGTGATATTGGCTCTTCTCCGGCCGATTCCGAATATGAACTTTTTGCATTAAAAAAAAATATTTTTATTGTTTTAAATTTGTAATTATTTTGAAATGAATGAAAACGGAGGAATTTCGCTTCGACTGAACTTTTACACTTCTCTGAAATCCCTAACTAGGAAGATCTTTAACGAAGTAGACGGATGAGGATAATTGACAACCTTTGTTAATAAGCCGATCATCTCGAAAACAAAAACACCAAAGACACGTCCGAAGGATCCGAGCGACAGGGGATCGAACTTACACCTGCATGCGGTGGATACGAGCGTCGGAGTCACCGGTGGAGGGCGATGCGGCCGCTGCGGCGGCTGGCTGGAGTCTGAGATCTCCGTCCCATGTGCTTCCTCTCTTCTCTGTCCTCCCGCAGGCCCTTTCCGTCCCCTCCAATTCGCTTCCCACTTCGGCCCACGCTCTTCGTCTCCTTCGATGGGTTAAGGCTTCCGCGGAGGGTCTGATCTGATGGCTGATGATCTGATGGTCTGATGGCAGGTGAGGCTGGGGTTTTCGGGATGGGGGAGGAGGGGGAGGAGGGGAAGGTGCAGCGCGTTCCGCGAATTCAAAGTCCGCGTCAAATCCGGACGACTCGTGACGTCACTTTGGAGGTACCACCCACACTCCCGCTAATTGTATTAGCTCGAGCAGTTTCTTTTTTATTCTCTCTCTTTATTCTCCCCCTCTCTCTTTTTTATTTTTCTCGGCGCGATGGAGAGACATGGCGAAAGAATTCGATTTGACGCCGGAGCTTCATAAACATGGGGCTTCGGGATGGGCCCTCGGAATGGACCCTCGGAATGGGCCCTCGGAATGGGCCCTCGGCAAGGATGAAGCCGAGGAAGAATCAATCAGGCTTTCGCCTTCCCGGAATCTGAGGAGTTGCTCTCGACTCCTTCATTTCCATATATGGGGATGAGTGGACGGCTGAATCACAGCGGATTCTCGCAGTGGATACTCGCAGTGGATGGTCGCAGTGGATGCTCGCAGTGGATGGCTTTTCCAAGCATGTATGACGCGTTAAAGCGCCCAGACGTCGCCATTCGGGGATTCATAAGGGCGTCGTCGTTCTGGACCGACAGAGAAGGAATAAAAAAAAAAGTTAATCTCGATGGCTTCGAATCGTTTTTGATTGGCGGATGTTGCAAGTCATCGTGTGGGCGATCTTAAGCGATGCAAATCGGTGAATGCGGAGCGATATTATCATTGAAATTGGGAATGATTAGTTGATTGATTCTGGTTTCTGTCTCCGAAAAAAAAGGATCTGAAAAATTCTTCGAATTTCGTTGCATCAGAGTTTTCGCTGCGAACTCTGGAGCAACTCGCTTTTGCGTCACTCTGTATTTCAGAAAGGAAGGCATTCATTTTTGAATTATGCATCTTCGTCAAATCACAATCGATGACATCGCCGCTGGCAGAAATCGCGATTACATTAGGTTTCCAGTTCTTAGATGTTATTCAAAGATTTCGTGCGATCCACCTTGGAATAATAAATTGGCTCCTTGAATTCGTCGCAGAGGCGCGATCGAGATGTCACCGAGGCGCGATCGAGATGTCACCGAGGCGCGATCGAGATGTCACCGAGGCGCGATCGAGATGTCACCGAGGCGCGATCGAACGGTCACCGAAGAGCGATTGAGCGGTCACCAAGGAGCGATTGAGCGGTCACCAAGGAGCGATTGAGCGGTCACCAAGGAGCGATTGAGCGGTCACTGAGGTTGCTTGGCCTGACACCATTTCATTATTCCATTTCGGGTCGTCTGGACGATCGCACGGCGCAGGTTTTCGTGTCGTACGACTCAGGGCGGTCGTCAGGTGGAAGTTTTAAGGGGAAGTCGTTTTTTTATGGCGCTTCCTCGGGGTTTAGAGGCGGTTGTGCGGTTGGTATGCGATGTGGTATGAGTGGTATAAATGTGTAAATGGTTGGTGTTTGACGACGAATGTTATTCGCAGCAATTTTTTTTTTAGAGTTGGAGCGATGTATCCTTGCAGCACACTGTTCAGTAGAAGCTTTTATTTGTGGAGGAAAACAACCAAAAAAAAAAATAAGTTAATTTTTTTTTTAAAAGCCAAAAACTCAATTTTGCGAATTCGTGCAACAACATGTAACGACTGTAACAACAACATATTAAAAATGTGAAAACTCCTTCCGACCAAGACCTCTCGTGGAAACAAAACGTGAGCAATGAAGCAAACTAATATACGACCTTGCTGCACACGCACACACGCACACGCACAAACGCGCGCACAAACACACTCATTGCGAATTCTGGATGAACCGCCTCGCCTGTACTCGAGCCCACGCCTTCGCGGATGGCCGTGGGCCTTCGTTGGCCGTGGGCCTTCGTTGGCCGTGGGTGTCGGCCGGGATGGATTTTTCCGGAACTTCGGGTTTCTTCTCCACCTACGTTCCTTTGGGGGTACCGGGGGGGGGGGGGGGGGGGGGGGGGGGTAAAAAAAAAAAAAAAAAAAAGCCATCCGGGTCAAAGGACTCCGTCATCGTAAATAATTTCGCGCATGTAGGTGTTTCCCCGCGACGACGACTCTTTCGAAAGCTCTGAAGTCTCCATCCTTTTTTTTTATCTTCTCGGGTCGTCACTTATAAAGTAAGTGCTGGGTGTTGCCTTCTTAGAAAAGATCAGCAGGAAAGAAATACGACAGCGATGTGGGTCGACCTGATCCATTATGACGTGGCGCAACCTGTCATGGAGAGTAACAATGCGATGCGAAGAAAAAAAAAATATATAAATAAATAAAAATGCTCTTGCAAGGTCAGAGATGGTCGGGTCCGGTGGTCAGGTCCGGTGGTCAGGTCAGGTGGTCAGGTCCGGTGGTCAGGTCCGGTGGTCGGGTCAGGACCTGCAAGGTCGGGTCCGAATAACGGCGTGTACCCGAATCCGCGGGTTACGTCATCGGCGCGCCGGAAAAATGATCAGCTTCGATGGAATCTCTAATGGGCAGAAAAACTGGTCGGACGAAGCGCCGAATCTCGTTTTCATTTTTTTTTTCATTCATTCCCAATTATCGGCGTCGAAGTCTTTTAATTTCATGAATGACCCTTCATTCAGCGAAAGGAGTCCGGAATCCGGCAGGAAGCGGGTCGTCGGACACGGAAATCCACTCCGGATCCCGATTCCATAAATCATTCAGACGCGGATCGATAAGATCGTTATCGGCGAGATTCTGTCGCAACGGCGCGAAACGTCGCTGTTACGATGCAACCCCCTTTGTGAGTTTTTGGACAAAGAGCGGAACGAAGGGGGGCCGATTTGATAGGGAGATACGGCGAAGACCTTCGACCCAAGAATCCACCCACGTTACAGATGAGGTGGCCGTGATTGTGCATCGATCGGCATTGTGGTCGTTTGTATGGGAGAATGAGCCAACCCCCCCCCCCCCCCTGCCCCCCCTGCCCCCCCTGCCCCCCCCCCCCTTACAGGATTCTCAGCAAGCCTGACCCAATCGAGGAATGGAGTCGTTTATCATCTCGCGACTCCCTTGTCCCCTTTCGCTTTCTCTTCGTCGCGGGGAAGAGCGGATTCCACCGAGTTCGCGGGATCGGGATGGCTCGTTTCCAGTCGGGCAGATCGTAATGGATCGGGCTTCGTAATGGATCGCGCTTCGTAATGGATTGCCGGGGAGGTTCGTGGAGGCAGAATCGGGCGGGAATGGATGCCGTGGCTGGAACTATATGGACGCACACGAGGGAAGAGACAGAAACTCGGTAGGAAACCGGGGGGAATGGATGGGAAAAGGAGAGAGGATTTATCATTTCTTTAATAGAGTTGTCTCCCTCGTGCATAATCAGCATTGTCTTATCGGGGGGCATTTGCATGGCGCATGCGCGAGGGTAAGGGGGGGCCTTTATAAGGGGCGATCGTAAAGGTTAGGGGAAGGCGAAGAGGAAGGACGAATGTCGTCCGATGATGGATGCAGGTTGGAGGGAGGTGACTGGGGGGTGAGCTGGGGGGTGAACGGGGGAGTGAGCAGGGGGGTGAGCAGGGGGGTGAGCAGGGGGTGAGCCGGAGGTGAGCAGGGACGGGAAAGAAGGAAGTTTGTTTGAATAAATGGGCGTCATCCCATCCACCCCCCGGCGCGGACCATACATGGACTTGCTCGCGTGCCACCCATCACTCTTTTTTCCCCCCCTTCTTTTTCTCCTTCAGCGGGGGAAGGGAAGAAGAAGCCAGCCCGGCGCAACATGCATCTTCTTAACCCGTGGATGTAAGCCACGGAGAGGCGTTGCCTTCGGAGGGGCGGAAGTGGGGAAAGACGAGAGACCGGGAGAGGAAGTGTCGGTGTCGACACGCGATGTCGTTGGGTCGTCCGACCTTCATCGGGGGTCGACGACGACCGGTCGGCGACGACCGGGCGACGACGACCGCCTTCCCGTCGCGGAAATGTCGGCAATCCGGCCTCGACCCGAATCTCGAAAGTGGGTGGAGCGCTTGTACCTTTCCTCTCCATGCATAGGGAAAAAGGCGTCGGCTCTCTTCCTTCCTGCGGTGAAGGGGAAATCGGATATGATTCATGGACGCCCAAGGACTCGGTGTTTCTTGCCGAAATGACGTCACGGTTCTCCTAAAAATCCAGCTCGGTGCGACCCGGTGACCGGTCGTGACGTCACGAAGCGGGATTTCCGTTGAATATGCAATGCGTGTTCCCCGCCGAATGCATTCGAAGGTCCATCAGGAGCCTGCCATAACTCTCGGTCCGGCCTTTTTCTTTTCGTTAACGGTCGAAGCTCGTTCTTTCTTTGATAACTTCTTGTTTCGGTCGGATGATGCATGCCGGTGGGGCCCAGTGCGGCCCAGTGGGGCCCAGTGGGGCCCCTCATTAGTTCCCCCCATGGGTTAGTTTTGACTTGCAAGAACCCGTCGTGGGCAATGCGCACTCTCCTTGAATATGTATGCATTTTTTTTTTGTTGTTGGCTTTTCTCGAAGCGCGATTTCGACTTTCGCCGACTCGTCGCGGTTCCAAGGGGAAAAAAGAAAAACTTCATCGCGTGCTTTTCACCATCTTGATGGGGGACTCCACCCTCGAAGAGAGAGAGAAAATTTATATATAAAGTATTATAGATCTTCCAATGCCCCCTCATACTTTTTCCCTATCTCCCGAGGGGATCGAAGGGTGTTGTCCCTTCAACGTATTACCTATATCTCGTATCGGCTACCGCCATGAGGGCCCCGGAGTGGGCCGCGAGGACCCCGGAGTGGGCCGCGAGGGCCCACGCACGCGAGCGGAACAAAGAGATGGAGAGATCTCGCTCTGAGCTTGCAAACACGAAACCGCGGGACTGACCCTAATCCCCTCGAGAGAGACAGAGAATTGATGCACCGTAAAACAGCCGTGAAAGTGGCAACAGCGGAAAGCGAGAGAGAGAATAAAAGAGAGAGAGAGAGGACTCCATTCATAAAAGCGTGAATGACAACCAGTGTAGCCGGCTATGATGGATTCAGTTCTCAGCCCACTCGATCATTTCAACGCCATCTTCCATTACCTCCCCCCCTCCCCCTCCCCCTCCCCCCTCCCCCCGTGGCTAGGTCGCATTTTTTCCATCAAGTTTTTTTTGTTTCATTTAACCCCTCCAGCACAGGCGGGATCGAGGATCCCGAGAATCCTCGAAAAGGTTGAGGTCGACCGCGCACGAGGAAGATCCGAGACATCATCGCGACGCGGAGGGAGATAAGGACTCCCATGTACTTCGTCCCGGTTTTCGATAAGGACTCCGCTTGATGTACTTCGTCCCGGTATTCCTACATCATCCGAGATGGCCCTCGTTTCTTCCCGTGCACGTCTCACGCGGGGGTCGTGCATCACCTGACATAACGCTGGGCACGACGAAATCTGCCTCATGAAGCGGCTGCATGGCATGAAGCGGCTGCATGGCATGAAGAGGCTGCATGGCATGAGGCGGCTGCATGAAGCGGCTTCGTGGCGCAACGAAGACGTAACCGTCGATTTCGAGCATCGGAGATGCATGCGTATGCATGGGGATAATTTTCCGTCGTAACTCGGTGAGGCAATCCAGCCGGTTTTTACGACGGTTTTCTTCGAGCGTCGAAGGAGAAAGAGACCGTCACCGCTTCGCGTTACTCAATGCGTCATCTTCCTGTGGCGTAATGGGATGATCGAACCCGCCGTGCATAACGACGATTTACGAGGTCGCCCCCCTTGTTAAATCCAATATATCCAAAAATATTTTTTTTTTCTTGAAGCGAATCCATAAAGTTCTCCGTATTCTCCTCCGCCTCGACCTCGTTCCCCGGGAAAAAAAATCCCCGAAACGAAAACGCAGCCGAAGGCGACCGCGTTAATGACGGGGCCGGCGACGAGGCGTCGATTCCGATCTAATGTCCGGGGCTAATGAGAGGGCAGCACGAGGATCTCATCGATCCGTGACCCCTGTCGACGGCGGAGGAATAATATAATAAGCGCCGGCCGTTTCTCACGGAGCGAGCGATCCGTCCGAGGAGATTTTTCGATCCGCGAAGACGTCGAGGCGACACGCGAGATAGAGACGCGAGTGCGGACAAATTGCACGTGTCACCCCGTAATGAATGTGAATCGGGGAGTCTTAAAAAAGCGAGAAGACAGAACGACCGAGAGCGAGAGAGAGAGAGTGAGTGAGAGAGAGAGAGAGAGAGAGAGAGAGAGGAGGCAGGGTGATGGAGAGCTGGGACATGACACAGCACCTCTGTTCCCACCAGCATTAAGACCTATTTGTTTAGCCCCCGTGCGAGTCCCCCCCTTCCATGTTGGGGCGAGCATTGTCAAAGTTCATCCCTGATTGCTTCCCATTGTTCCTCTCTCTCTCCCTCCTCTCACGTGAGCGAGAGCAGACACCAACTCCAGGGCGTTGTTTTCAAACACGTCCCTCATCGGACCGCGGGGAAACATGATCGATGCCCGCGCCGTTTCCTCTCGCATCATCCGGAGGAATGCGCTCGGCACTCCGGGGAGCATTCGGGGCATGTCGCATTTGGAATACGCGGACGTGCCGTGGTTTCGGCATTCTCCCTGCTTGGCTTGGGAGATGTGGGGCTCGAGAAAGTTCGGGTTCCGAAATGTATTCGGTGTCCTGGAGTTTATGCCAGATTTTTTTTTCCTCGCGCTTTTCCGAAGGACGTATCGAGGTTTTTCTTGATGGAATGCGATAGAGATTTTTATTTATTTATTCGAAGTGCATCATGTATTTTTCTCTTTGCTTTGAAAGCTTCTAAAAAGCCATTTTTGGACGAGAAAATCGGAAAGGTGGCGTGGAAGTTTATTAGCGAGTTGCTTGTTGCGGTTTCGACGACGCAAAAAAAAATTAGAAACTGGCGCAGAAGAAAAGTTTTTTATCTCTGAATTTCTTAATTTTCTTGAATCGAATTTACCTCATATCTCCTCTTTAAAATATATATATGATATGGAACCGGTGATAAATTTGGGGGCACCCTGTAGAATATGACCCATCATACCGCATGAGAAAATCACAAGAAGTTATGCAACACGGAATTCCACGCGCACGCGGTATCTAATAAATCACCGATAAGTATGCCGTAAATGTCTTTTTGGGTTTCACAAATAAGTAATTTCTTTAATCCGTCAGTTCGTGGGATCAAGATATTATCTGAGGCATTCGACGGATCGGTCCATACGAGGAGAGCCATAAAAAAAAAATGATGATGGCCCATTCATGGATGCGGTCTTCCATGACTGCCCTCGTGCATTCGGCTCTTTTCGGAACCGGAAAGATAAAAAATGCAAAAACGAAAAAGCGATTCCGACACGAGGCTCCCTTTGGATCTGAAGAGAACGCCGCCGCATGAGATGAAAAGCCTCGTGAATTTTTCATCCTCCGATATCCCATCCGGACCGGGCTTCGGCACGTGGAGCAAAAGTTCGTGGAAGTGGAAGGAAATCTCTCGCGAGACATGGGAAAACCGGGGAGGAATCGACCTGACGTCACTTTGAAGGTGACGTCACGATGAAAACTTGCCGAGAAGGCGAGCGGCAGCCAATCCGGGACCCCCACCGCTTGCTCGAGGCCGTTGGGTCCCTTGTCCCCCCCCCCCCCCCCCCCCCCCCCCCCCCCCATATCCACTTCACACTTGGAGGTAGTTGAATGCGAAGGGCAAGCAGCCACCCACATCCAGGAAGTTTCAAGGGTACTTCGGCGACTGCGAGCACCCTTGGGGGGTTCCAATCCTCTCGGCCCGGTATTAGAAGTATGACTTATTCATAGGGCTCAATTACTCGGGGAGACGGATGGTTCATTAGCATAGATGAGTCACACCTGGATAGGGGCGTAAATTTCCCCCTTGTGTTTAATGGTATCACATAGATCACGGTGTAACGCCATCCGTTCTCCGGTCCTGTCTCTGGTTGTCATGGCTTGTTATCGATGGGACAGCCCGGGTTGCCACGTGAAATACGTGTCTCACCACCCTGTCCCTGTCTTTCTTCTTCCCTTTCTTCAACCGGGGCACGAAACACAATGCATGTCCCAGGGTCAGCAGAGCCGTAGGACATCAGGGACGTCTCGAGAGACCTTTATATCACCTCGAGCGTGCATGTAAACGGGCTGAACGTCGACGAATAATCGCGACGATCTCGCTTTCCTGAAATTAATGTCGTTCTCGACGACGGAACGACAGCCTCCTATCACATGTCACAAGTTCTGCGGACTCGGAAGTCATCTGCGAATTACAGCTTCCGAAAGGTTCCAGCGAAAATAAAAACGACAGCGTTCGCACGACGAAGCTAAAATCCCTCTTCGAGGCGATTTCATATTCTCAAGGTCGACACCGAGGCGTAGATGATCCGCCCGCATGCTAAACTCGACGCCTCGGGTCGAGAAGTGGCATGCAAGGTGGCCTGCAGCCGTGCCGAATGGCTTCGATCCCCAGACGAGATAGATCCACGCGAGACGAAAGACCGGAATGGAGGCAAAGAGATAGATGGGCATCTGTGCCCTTCAAGGGACCCAACGGCCTCGAGCAAGCGGTGGGGGTCCCGGATTGGCTGCCGCTCGCCTTCTCGGCAAGTTTTCATCGTGACGTCACCTTCAAAGTGACGTCAGGTCGATTCCTCCCCGGTTTTCCCGCAAATCCGCGCCGGACGCAGACACACCAAGGTGAGCTCTTCTCTCCCCACTTTCTTTCCGTCGTTCGTGGAGTTTTCGTTTTTGGAGTTCGCATTCGCGTATTGTACTCGAGGGCTGCGATATTTTTACTTGTGTTCCTGGAATGTGACAGGATTTGTCGAACTATGGGGAGCAGCATGTTGTCAGCCGTACTCGTGAGCCTGTTGGTTTTAAGCCTCGTGAACGAAGCGAAGGGGCAGTTCGGTCCTCTGGGCGGCTCTCCGTTCGGCTTTCTGGGCGGCCCTCAGTTTAGCCCTCAGGAGCCACTGTATGGCCCTTACGGTTCGCTCGACAGACCCTATCCTCAAGCCGATCTTCAATGTCCCCCTGGATTCAAGTGCGTTCCGGCGGCCGATTGCAAATGTGAGTTGGGTTTTTCCTTCTCGATCGAGACTCCGCCAGTCGGGAAGAGGTTCAGTTTTAGGCGACAGTTTGCTCGATCGACTTAATTGCCGTATGGAAGTAACGTGAACATTACTAGATTGTTGGTTTTCCGGAAAGAATTTGCTTCGGTAAAAAAAATCGACAGCTTCCAAAGGAATACAGGTACTCTAATGAAATGTTGGTTTCGTGGAAAACCTTCGTTTGGGGGAAAAAAAAACCTGGTGAAAGTTCCGCAGAGTCCTCGCCAGTTCCTCGTCGTGTAAGACTGAGGCCAGTCGAGACTAACCTTGGAGAGGTTTTTAAGATGTGAATCTTGTCGTTTTCAGATCAGTGTCCCCCGGGATACGAGGAGATCGCTGAGGGGTGCTACCACATCCCGAGGGTCTCGAAGCAGCGCAGCGATGCCGCGGCGTACTGCGCCGAGAGGAAAGCGGATCTGGTGACCGTCGAGAGTCGGCGAGAATACGACGCGATCGTCACCAGGATCGGCAAAGACCCTGGTGAGCTCGAATGTTGCATCGGGTGAGGAGACCCGATCGAGGGAAAGATGCCACTTCGAGAATGCTTTCTCTCGTAGGCAAGTACTTCACGAGCTCGAGGCGGCAGGCAAATGGGAAATTTCAGTGGGAAACGACGTCTGCGGACATGGATACATTTAACACTGGTACTGTGGTCGACCTGACGACGGGCGACTGTGTCGTTTTAACTCCTGGGGGGTTCCAGGCGGTCGATTGTAATGAATCAAATTTCTTCATTTGCGAAATCGGTAAGTGTTGCGACGTATTCCCAATGTAAAGTAAGTTTTCGTCATCAATCCATTGAATTATTTTTTTTTTTTGCCATCGACAGCTACGCAGGGAAAGCACAAGTGCATGCAATCCACGATGGGACCCGAATACAGGAGAGTCTGCTGCAGCGACACGAACGTTGAATCGAAACCGAGTGCCAGCAACTACATCTATGGAGGTGAGTGGAAGATTCTAGTAAGAGTTCAGGAGGTGAGGAAATTGTATCGTATGCGTCTCGTTGTGTTGCAGGACCAAATGTGAACACCTTCAATACGCAAAGTCAAGACATGTGTTTGATCAACGCCCGGGGCGACACTTGCGACAGTGAGTGAGACGAATTTTTTTCCTCCAGGTTTGACAGTTTTTGACCCGATTCTTTCCGCTCCAGGGGTGTCGAAAGAAGATTGGCGTCGGGCAGGTTCGAGCTTCTTCAAGCTCTTCAGCGCTCCCGACCGCGAAGTAGACCACAAGGTTTCGTGGCAGGATGCGAGTTCGGAATGCCGCGAGCATTATGATTCCAAATTGGCCACATTGACGAGTCGCGTGGAAGATGAATTCGTTACCACATGGGCGAAGATGGTCATCGATTCCGATTCGTGCATTTGGATTGGCGCCTACTATTCTGAAGCTGAGAGGAGATTCGTTTTTGTTGACGGTAAGGTTTTCCTGACCCGGAAATGAGGGGGACGATCGCGTGGGTTAAAATTTGACGGGTGCGATGTGCCGTACAGGGACTCCTGTCGAAAATGCCAACTGGGGCAGGAACGAGATGAAGTCGTCGGGGTTTGTGGCCCTGGTCAGGGAAAACGGTCGAATCGTGTGGAAAGTTTTGGACAGGAATGAGGAGTGCGAGTTTTTTTTCTGCGAGATCAAAATGTGAGTTTCATTCGACTGCTGGGTATCGTCATTAGAGTTTTGATACTTAGAATGTGCCTCTTGCGACAGCCGCATGAGATCGGGGCCGGATCCGAGGAAGAAGGCGAGATGTGGAGCTCGAGCTGCAGGCGGAGCTCTTGCTCGATCTCTCATTGCCAAGAAAAAGAGGGACGTATACGGATATTATCCCCTGGGCATGGCATCTAGGAGTTCGCTGGGTTACGGCGTGAATTACCCAGGAGCCTTCGGAGTTCAGCAGACCTTCGGTAGAGATATATCCCCTCTTGGAGATTATAACTTTAGAGCACCACAGGCCGTTGGATACCGAGGACCCGGAGGTGTGGGTCTTGGCTACCCCAGTTGGCCGGATAAAGGACAGAGGGGTGGCAGCATTGCGGGAACAAATTCTGCCCAGTATCTCGAATGGCCGTGGCAGGTATGTCAAGGTTTCGTTACTCCTGTATCCCCCAAGAAATGGGCTCTTACTGGATGTGGAAAGAACAAGTCTGCATTCGTTGGTTACGTACTATAGGTGGCGATATACAAGTTCAAGAAACAGTGGAGAGCAGAACCAGATTTCATCTGTTCCGGCGCGATGATCGACGATATGCACGTGATCTGTGCAGCCCATTGTGTCGCTGGAGGAAACCCAGCCGAGTTCCAATGCGGCATTGGAGAATGGGATCTCTCGTCTCTGACCTACGAGCTCTATGATCCCGCTCTCATAGGCGTAAACAGAATTTACGTCCACCCGAAATACTATTCAGGGACAAACCACAACAACCTGGCCATCTTGAAATTGTCTGAACCGGTGACCTCGGGTTCTCCGGAGCACAGGCCGGGTTCTCCGGAGCACAGACCGGGTTCTCCGGAGCACAGGCCGGAGCACAGGCCGGGAACTCGCTCTGCTTCCCGAATGCCTCCAGTTACCCCCGTTTGCCTTCCCAGCAACGACGTCCCAGCTCTGGCTTGGAAAGAGTGCTGGATGACTGGCTGGAATTATTACGCCCAATCCGTGAGTATTCGTTATGCTGAAATAGAGTACTGGCTTGTGCAAAGATGTGATCGAAATTCCTTCGTTTTCAGTCCTTCCAAGCGTTGAATGTGCTGGGCGAGGCAAGAGTTCGATTGCTTCCAGATCGTGATTGTGATGGGGTCGGTTTCGTAACCGGTGCCAATTATCCATTAGGACAGGGATATGGACCCTTTGGCCCTGGGAGAGGCCCGGCAGGCGGGATCCTATGTGCAGTAAGAGTTGAGAATACCGGCACCTGCATTGTAAGTAAAAACCGCAACTAATTTCTTCCTCTTTCAAAATGAGATTTAAAGTAAGTGTCCCTTTCGTGCAGACTGATCCGGGATCGATCTTGGTATGCAAAGCGAACACAGCCTTCACAAACTACAATTACCAAGGATACCCTACCTTTGGAATAGGCCCACGTTTCAGGAGAAGCACTTTCAACGAATCAAATCCTGTGAACAACGCGACCTCCTGGCTCGACATCCTCAAAGAGCTGGCCAGCAAAAATTCGACGGGGAGGAGTAAAAGGGCTAATGGTTACGGCTCCCCTCCTGTACCGCTTGGTGGTCCTCTCCCTGGAGGTTATGCCCGTGAACCATGGCAGCCTTATCGGACGCCCTTTGGACAATACATTCAAGGGGCTGCCTACGGTGGAATTACGAAAGCCAGTCAAGTTGACGACTTCAAACCCTATGGTGAATACAGTCCATACCCAAACAGTCCCTACGTCAAGAATATATTCAGCGGGAATCAATACCTGGAGAATGCGTTCTATCTAGTCGGGATCATTACCAGCAACTACCACAATTCCTGCTCGAACAGGCCCATCATTTTTACTGATATCACCGCCTACTTGGAATTCATCCTTAACTACAGCAGGGGTGATAACTATTAGTCAGTCTTCCCTTTCTGTTGTGATATATTTATGGAAATGTTTTACTCCAAATTTTATTAAAGAGAGTGAAAGGGCATATTGAGTCATTTACACTTCTAATGTACTTGCTCACACCATTGAAGTGGATATCGAACTTTGTATTTTCAGCTAGCCATCTTCATTTAGATGGAGTAAGTTTGTGAGAACTATACTGATACACAATACATCCTGTTGGTTGTCTCAGACTTCTGGTAATATTTCAGTTCTCTCCAAACAGATCTATCTACTGCAACATATGGATGCCAGTACATTATGCTACCCAAGCTGCTATCTTTACACATCACAAAACTGATAGTGCAACATGTGGTTTCCATCAAATTAAACTACATACATGGGAGCCCCAAGGGAGTCTCCTTCTCTGAAGTGACTTTACAGTATTTTCCAAAAAGCTTGTCTTTAACTGAACCAAATGAGTGCAATATCCTTCAAGTAATAGGTGCAGTTCACTTGGTAAAATCAATTCTCCAGCATTTTTAATAATTCGATATGCATTAGTCTGTACTACCAGTGCAGACTTGACCAAATTCATAATCAATGAATGAACATATCAAAGGACAGTTAACTGCATTTCCTACATTCATACAGTCATGGTGCAGTTCTTATTTCTAGTATAGGCATGGGAAGAAATGAGGGGAATGGAGCAGGGGGCAGCAAACAAGGAATAATACCAAGCAATAAAATGACAGTACAATCCAAGGAGAAAACAAATTTTATGCCCTAGTGTAATCAGTGATTACCTTTGTCAATGAGACCTTTCCTAAGCATGACTTAGGCCCTGATATAGTCTGATACAAAGGGAATACATTTAGTAGTGTCACAGACCTTTCATAATTTAAATGCTTCAATGATAATGTAATAAACCCAGATGCAAAGAACTATTTTCAATAAACTCAAATATATGCTTTGATTTTACAATTTCAAAAATTGTTTTAAATTTAATGGGTTAGAAGTTGCCTTAGGCCAAAAAAGAGCCTCATCAGAAAGAAAGAAAAAGGAAAAATGAGACTTTGAATCACAGACATGTGGATAGTGAAATACTCTTCTGAAACTGGTCCCAGGGCAACACCGATCATGAGATGTTGAATTGAGGTTCAATCAAATAAATACCAGAAATACTCTGGGCCCATTTTTGCTCAGGAAATGTGCATTTCAAGTTAATTCAATCCAAATACTTCATCCAATTCCTTTGCAGCCTGAGACAAAGGAGGACTTGGAGATGTAATGGTCACAGTGGGGTAATCATGGTGATCAAATGAATCAGAAGTTTCTTGAGAAGCAGCAACTCTTGGCTGCATCTCCTCCCCTTTCCTGGGTTCATTAACTTCTCTCTTTGCTCTTCTCGTTTTTGTAGTTTGTTTGACATTCAAATATGCCTTTGAAATTCTTTTCCTTGGTTCCAATTCAGCACAGGACTTCTTATCTGGATCTGTATGCAGAGATAGAATCTCCTGAAGCATTTGCAATTTTTTCATGCCTGGAATTTCTGAAGTATTAGGTTGTTGAGAAGAAAGAGATCAACCTGAGGCAAGAGGTTGGGTCTGGGCTTGGAGACGGGCATTGAGGTCATGAATTCTCTCAACTTTTGCTGAAAGGACAGGAACGAAGCAAGAATATACATCTCTTTCTGTGTCACGCTTCCTCTGCACAACCTCTTCGAGCTTTTGCAGCAGATCTCTCTGCCCTGAAGAAGAAAAAAAAAGAGATAAAAAAGCATAATCGGTTAAATGCAGCTACTCTTACCTCATAAAAAAATATAAGAGAAACCTCACGATTCTCCAATGCTTCGAAATCCTCTTGCTTGAGTATTGATGCCTCCTCCAACATTGCAATCTCGTTCAGGCTCAAGTCCATTATTTTGACCCATGCATCTTCCTTCTTCATCTAAGCAAACAACAGCCACAGGATTGCCAAACTTTCATCATGCTTACAAGGACAAGCTGGCAAAGAGAAAATGGTACAACCATTTGCACAGGAAGAGTCAACTTTTCTCTTTTTGTAGTGATTTGCAGTGATGAATTGCCATCAATTTGAAGCTGAGGCTTCTGCTCCTTACTCAGGAATGCTCTCAGGTGATCAGGGCCTGCAATCCACTGCAATGGATAGCAAATCAAGATCAGACACATTCACAGAGATATCAAAATAAAAACACAAAATATCCAGGCCTCACTTGTGCCTTCCATGATTGTTCCATATCAGTGAGATAGAGCTCCAAAGAATCGCTGGTATACTCACTCCATGCCAAGAACCAAGTATGACCATCTGGCATGGAAATTTTCTGCATTCTCCTCACTTGCAGCTCAAACACTCTTCACTTAAACCATCAAACCTATCATGACTACAGGTGGTTTAGTACATAAGAGGCAGGTGACAACACAAACTAACACCTTACAGTCATAAGAGACCTGATCCCATTTTTAAATTGTTTTTCAGGCTTCATTCCACTAATGGAGCCTCCAGCATAAATCCATGAGAGTGAGTGAGTTCCTCTTGACCAATTCAGTGACTTGGTGCAAGCCATTTGCAGGCATCTAGATCGAGGAAGGTCTGCTGCTGTTCCAGCAAACTTTGAGTTGATACGGACGATCTACTTGCGGCTGACGTTTTCTCAGTTGAATTTCTTATTGAATTGTTGAGCAGTTTCCATTGTGTTCTGATCAAATTCGAAGTAAAGCCGAACAATTGTGACACACTCATCAGTGGTCAGTCGTTCCCCAGTCACATTCCTCAAATTTATTTGAATTGGAATAGGTCACAGTGGAAGCACAATGACTTTAGACAATCAGACAGACAATTGAACACGGTGTAGCAACCATGTTTTCTGATGCCAACGCCTTCATACGAGGGGCAATCAAAAAGTCAATAACTCCCGCAATAGGAATTTAATAGCCGAAGGATGCAATCGACAAATAATGCAATAATAGTTCTTTATACAGAGGACAACCTGGTCACTCAAACGGTGTGAACCACATCTCGCTCAGATCTAGCAATGCAAAGTTACTAGCAGTAAAAAGGTGGGCAGGGCTAATGACTCACCCTGCATAACCCCCACAGAGAGGTGAGGTTACATAAAATACAGGCCTTCTGGATTCTCGGATAGCAAAAGGGCCTTGAATCAAACTAGAATGGGTATTCCCTGAAGTGAGTTTATGCAAAAGTTTGGCTTAAAGTAGACTCAATGTTTCTTACATTGAATATACTGTATATACTACAATATATATGTGTATACAGTATATCGCCCTTGAAAAAAATATTTATTCAAGATCTACTGCATTTCGTAATGCATCTGGTAGCTACTTAAACAAACAAGATTCCAATATCCAAAGTGAGATGGCATCTTAACAGCTGACATAAAATTACTCTGATGCCACTGGAGTAAGTCCCTGGTACCTTTTATTATGGTACTCCTTTTCCCACTTGCAAATTGTGAAGAAATAGAGGAGTTTCTCAATACCTTTGTCTAAAGAAGTAATGCATCATGTTTCCCCATGATGCATTACTTCTTTCTCTCCAAGCAATTCTGGCTGACAATACAGGAAGGATGGATTGACTAGATACCAGTACCCAACTCATTAGGGCAAGAGTAGTAGCAGGCTCAATCACACACCTGGCATTGAAGGCCCTTATATTTGACTGTCAGACCCTTCTAGAGGAGGTAGGTATAAGTGCGGTGAGAAGGTTCATGGATCTCAAGACACATGCTTCCACCATGGGATAAGAACCAGATGCGTAAGAAAGTTAAAGTTAGAGCATCCTAAAGATACAGTACTAACTGGAGTACTTCCAACAGATGGGGATATGATCCTTATTGTTGATGCAATGCAGAAGGCACATTGAAGTGATTTGATAATTCAACAAAGACAGCATTATTTCAACATCATCATCACTAAGCTTCTCCTGTGGAGTTACATAAAGGATAAGGTTTATCCATGCAGTGAACCAGCTGCCATTGAACATCAAAGAAACAATAGCTGGAAGTCCTTCAGAAAAGTTTATTGGTTATCATGTGCCGTTTAATGAATCAAAGACAAAGCATTCCAAGGATAAGAAATTCATTATTCCAGCACAGACTTCCTAGCAGTGAAAGGGAAAAGAAAGGGCTTACCCAAGAAGAAGCAAAGGTAGCACTTTTTCTTCTTTGGAATGGACTATTTCATGGTGCTACATTATGCTTTTATGCTGTAATTCTTTTCATGGATAACCTATGAGAATCTGTGCTAGAGATGATACCGTGTGACAAGAGGGATCAGCCTGATGACTGATTATGTGAATTTCAGAATAGCCATGACAAGCAGCCAAAAGAGTGAGCTTTAAGACTCAATAAATACCAACCACCAACCAATTTTATTGTAGTTTTCAGAAAACCACCAGCACAAGTTGGATGTGACACCAAGTGAAAACACATACATAGGTGCACCAAATTTCTCGAGGTTGAGGGGGTTGTTGGTGTGCTTATGTTTATGTAGCTGCAGATTGAACACCATGATAGATATTGGTAGGAAATGTATTGGGTATCACACTCAACTTGTGTAGATGGATTTATAAAAATTTCAATTAAATTTGTCATACAGAACCCAGAAAAAAAAACTGCTAAATGTCAAGTAAGTGCATCTATCACTACCTGCTCTACTGGACAAGAGCAGGGCATGCTACATGGTACAAGAAGCAAGCATACAAGCAATAACCAACTGAATATAATAAGTGAAAACGAAAAATTTTTCAGACTCTGAATAACAAATTTCAATTAAATATTTATGAAATCACCAACTTGTGTTGAATGTGACACCCTGTAAACTTCCTGCTGATATCACATATGGTGTTTCATCATAAACATGTTAAGTTGGGAACATTTCTTTGGGCCATGAATTTAAGCAGGGTAGAAGAGACACAAATCAACCAGTTTTATTTGGAATAGAAATCCTTATATGTAAGAACTGTGCCAGGATAACATCATCAGGATATAAAAGAATGACTCAGTAAGAAGTTGGGTTCATTATAAATTGGGAAAGCATTTGTCAATGTGGCATGTAACCACTCCCTCATTGAGAGAGCTGACTATGGAAAACCATGCACTGGCTTACAGGACTATCAAAAAAACACTTATGCAGGGGAGTAGTGCAAAAAGTTGCTTCATTAGCATCTGCTGGGAATCTCAATAGGTAAAACAAGTAAGGACTAGCAATGATTTGAATTGGAGAAACAGTGATTCCACAATGTCACTCAGTGATGACAGGATAAATAGGAAAGTGTCCTGACGACGGTGACAAGTGAGAAGACTCCCCATTCTTTCCCATCCCCATGTTCCCTCTGGAAACAGTGCAGGCCCCTGTCTTTTGTCTAGATCCTCTCCATCAAATGCCCATTTTCACACACTCATACCAACTTCTTATGTATCACAATATCAGCTGATTTACTCCATCTTAGATATCTCAAACTTGGCAGTCATCACTTCCTGAAAAATCAAAGATGAAAAAAATTAGACATCAGTCATACATTCCATGCCTGTACTTTTCCATTCAAGTAACATTAAATTTAAAAAAAATACTACTTACTTCATCAGAGTCAACCAGTGCAGGCAGCGCCCTGAAAGAAGGCAATTGAATGCAATGCTTAGAAAATAAATGGCATGTCAGGATTAACTGGAAACCAAAGATCTGATTACTTTTAAACCTGTGAAAAAGAAAGCCTTGGGAAAAAATTCAAATTTCATATAAATTTTCTAGACACCAAAGGAAAGTATTATTTACATCAAACTGCCAAAATGAGGTGATTTCATGGCAAATTTTGGATTTTGCAACAATGGGAAAAATTTCCTAAAAAACTAAATCAGGTAAAATATAAAAATGTCAAACAAAAACAATTTTAGAGACATAAGATGTAATGCAACAAAATAAAGGAATCGCAAGAAAATCAACCCAAAGGTCTTACTAGGCTAAGGTAGTGAGTGACCAAATTATTTAAAGAAGCTCCCACTTGAGAACTTTGTGGTGAATATTTGAGAAATTCCCCATTCTCTGTATAGGGAGTCTTCCATCATGATATTAACAAATTAATTAGGTATGTTCCCAATCAGAAATGAGGTGCAGTGAATGGTCAGGCTTTTACTTACACATCTGCCATTGAAGAAGGAATGTTTTCTTCCACCCACTTTAAATCATCCTCCTGGAGGCAAAACAGAGTACAGATATAGAAAACATTATCACATATAAATTAATCTATAAATATCACAAAACATGATCACACTAACAATAGATTTTTTCTTATCCCTTGACTTCCCACTGTCTTGTCTCTCCCTCTTTGTTGCACGATGAGTCATCCCCTCTGATGGAAAAAATTAATTTCAGTTATTCCAAGAGCAATGGAATTTTAATGAATGAAAACTGAAATAAAATATAAGTATTTTTCTCACCAAATGCTTCAGGGGGTAACAGCTCCTCTTCATCCTCATCATCACCACCATCAAGAAGCTGAGTGAATGCATATCGTTGGTTGTTATTGGTGGGCCTCCAAAGGATCATGATGACCAAAAGAACAACAGAGAAAAGGATGTGCCAATATGCATCATCCAACCACAACTCCTTCCAGTCCTGATAAAATCAAATCATTCACAATATATTCCAACAAAATTTTATGTGAGCATGGCAACATCTTCAAGTTAAAAGATGAATGCTGACCGTCAGACAAGTTTTAAGGCGATGATATTTGATGGCCCACAGCATGAAGATAACAGATGCAACAACTGCAAAAATCAGGGTGTTGGTGAAGTGTCTGTAGAGGTTCAACTTAACCATGTTTCTCCTCAGCTTTAGTGTCCGGAGGGTTTGAACAAGGGAACTGAAGATGTGAATCTAGCTGTCAAGGAAAAATTATCTCCAAACACAACAAGCAATCTCTCCCCCCCAGACATAATTGAATCATCATGATTTTTCCTAATTTGAAGCTTTGAGTGCTTGAATTAAAAGGACATGAATGCCTGTCCCCCATGAAATGAAATCATGGAAAGACATAGGTTTATTAGGATAGTGTAACAGTATGAAAAGGATATCCACCAGCAGATGGCTGCATCAAGTACAGCAAGAGGCACTGAAGCAAGAAGTGCCTGACTTGAAGGATCATTTTTGGGATGAATCACTCTTAGACTCCCCTCCACAGAAGCCAGGATGAAATAAAGGACTCCAACCCCAACCACTCGATGAAGCATTGACCCTAGCCGTGGTCTAAGGTGTAATAAAAAATTGGAAGAATAAATCCAGAATCCCAGCTAGAAACCTTAATCATAGTTGAAACCTGGGAGATATGAAAATAAAAATTAGGTTTCCATAGCTTTGGAAGAGCAAACATTCTCACTTGACTATGCCAAAGCCAAGGCTGACGATGATGACCAGCATACGAGATAATGTTCTCTTGGCACAAGATATTAACTCAGCAAAGACAGCAGCACCAGGTACACTCGTTCCAGAGGAATTGATACTCTGGAACTCTGCATAATAGACTGCCTTCTCTATCATCCCAAGAAAAATGACACCTCCAATCCAGAATTGAATCCTCAGGAGGTCTTTCCATTGGAGGAAGCATACAATGAGCCAGGCAAGCCCATAGCCCACATACACAAAACACATGACTCCAAAGAACTGTCAAGAACAAATCATTCAAGAGTTCATCTTTCCTCTCCCTCTTCAATTCAACAATATTGACGATGTGCAAAAAGACTTTACTCACAGGAAGAAGAGGCCAATCAACAGCAGACAGGAATCCATATGGAGTTCGCATTTCCACATGCACCACTGCATTGAATTCTGAAGAATCACTTTCCAAACTTATGATCAGGAGGTAAATTCCATCATGAGGCATTTTGGCTACTGGGTGTTCTGTTTTCTGAATAGAAGATATGTCATAAGTATGTTTACTCAGAAAATACAAAATATGCATTCATATTTGAAGCAGATGTTATGCAAATTAGAATAGCATTACAAAGTGGCATACATAATCACTACAAATGACTACAAAGAAAACAATACATACCCAAGAGATACCACAATATATTTTTTTTTACTTCACTTTTAAATGCTTGCATAGAACCATATATCATAAAGGAAATATTGAATGAAAACAAGAACCCTGAAGTGGAGAAATACATCTAGTTTTTATAGCACAAAAGTATCATTCCCTTATCTTTCTTCTCTATTTTTCCTATATAAATTTGAGCATCAGGTACAGTAGCAAAGAAAGGATTTTTTTAATACACAGGTGCATCCTCAAAAACCTCACAGGTCAACACCTTCTCAATTCCTTGCTCTCAAGCATATCTGTGCACCAGCAATGTAAACCCATAAAAATAAGATTAAAACTGTAAGATGGGCTATCTATCAATCAGTTGTAGAGGACACAAATATACACAATAAAGAATTATGAACTTGCTGAAGAGGAAGGAACTTAAATCTTACAGGTGTATGCAGTCCCTGACTGGGACCTAGTCTTGTATCATTCCCTTGAGTCATTGTTTCTGTCATATCAGAGTGGGAATCCTAAAAAAAAAAGGAAAAAAAAAACAAAACAGATCAATGAATTACTGTCCTAGCCTTTAGAAACTAGGTCTAAACCTTTTTATTTTTTAATTCAAAAATTCAAAATGACAAAAAGCCTTCTATATTCCTAGGAAAGCAATTGACAGAAGAACGAGCATAGTTTCATTACCTTTCCTATCATGTTTGTTTCCCTTCTCTTCCTTGACATTGCTTGGGCTTTGGGAGGCTGCTCTTCTGTCTGAAACATATGATGACTTCTTCATCCAATCCCAAATAGGCACAGAAAGAGAAAGTCACCATGACTCACCCGTGTTGAAACTATTTGAAAGGCTGCTTCTTTATCAGGAGCCTGAAAGTACACAGCAATTATTGCATGACTCAAAGAAAGCAAATCAATGGATATTTGCATTGCCAAGAAATGGCAACTTGTATGCTAAAACGTTACTTCCACCTCATGCTATAAATTTCTGTAAATCTTAAGATTTAATCACCCTCTAAAAGGGAGTTTACCATTTACAATGGTAAATTATCTTGTTTATTCATTTAGTTTACTACATGCTAACATATTTAAAAGAAAAAATACTTTTTAATATGAAAAAGTTGCACTAGTGAGTTGAGTGAAGTGAAAGAAATGTCTGGAAAATTCAGCTTTTATTTTTTCATTCCAAAATGCATTCAATATAGAACTAAATGTACCATTTCAGAAGCTGAAAGAAATCTGATATTACTTCTGTGCAACAAACAACATAACATTGACACAGTTTTACTAAATTATGGTCTCAAGTAATTAACTGAAGACAGTTTCCTTAGCAGGCACATTTGATATGAAACATTGCATTCATGTCAGAATGAATGATATTCCACCTTTAAACCTCAGAATAGATACATGATAAGGATAGACAATGAGGCACCAAGCAAAAGTCAGAAAAGGTTGATAAACGTTAATGACTTATGGCAACAGAAATGACACTTACCACAATGAATGTCTCCCGACAGTCATGTTCCATGGAACCTTTAAAATAGGATGTTTCATTGTACCCCAGTTCTTGAATGATAAAATCTGGATTCTCATAATATCTTTTTATAATTTCCTGTGGAAGGAAAAGAAGCATTATGCCCTACATGTGCCTCCATTAATCAGGGGTACCTTCAAGTTCATAAATTGCACCAGAAGTCAATTCTTACTGTGTCCACAGAAGGATCTTGAAGGAAGAGATACTCTTCCCAACACTGAGTCTCTCGGATGGTCCATCCAACCTTCACTGCTTGAGTCTTCACTGATTGACAGGACACTAAAAAATTGAAGAACATTGGTTCACAACAAGGTAGAAGGTTCCATCAATTATCAAACTGTCTATTATAGCCTTTATTATATCAAGCTATAAAAGTTATTCAATATTAGTTGCCAAAGAAAAAATCTTTAGGCTTGCATGAAGGACATGGAACAAGACATTGAAATCATAGCATACTTACCCTTGACTGATATTATTGAGTCTTTGTACAAACTCTTATACACTGATCCCATGTTCTGGTTCTGAAACAAGACAATTCCCAAATATCATTATATTAGGACTGATGGCAAGAAAGAACATCTGGCACCAACTACTTATTTTTTCCTTAGTTGTTATCACCTACTTAACATATACTTCTACATACTTAAAAGGGTTTCAGCAAAATTGGCAAGTTGACAGGCTCTATTGCTATAGCCTCTGAGTGGTGGCCATGGTGTAATTAACTGTTACTGTTAACTGTTTCTGTCTGCAGAAGTCAAATGGTGACATCAATGAAAGCATGACCAGATGAACTATGGGGAACTACCTTTGGCTGTAATGTGGGCTCAAATGAGAGGGAGGGAGTGAGCACAAATGATGCTAATAAACTAAAGCAGGAGTAAAGTAGCACTGGAGCATTGGCAGCAGTGACCAATTCAGAAAAGCTGGAGTTTCATGTTCTATCCATGCAACAAATTTGCGTGCATTTTCCCTAGAGTTTGGGGTTGTTGAAGTCACTCTCTAACAATTCATGTTACCCCACTAATGAAAGCTCATAAAGGAGCAGAAGACATACTATGCAGCATAAGGCATCTTCAGGATCCTACCATTCCAATTGATTCTGAGATCCCACCACTTTCGCAACCAGGAATGATGCTCCCAAACATGGGAGGAGAGTGGACCTCAAATGCTTCATGTGTGGACTTGTGACTCCCCAGGATGATGAAAGGAGGGGACTGGATTGGGTTAGTGAGTACATCACCTTCCAGGGGAGAGGGGATGTACTCAAGATATACACTTACACAAGACATACAATCCAAGATATAGAACTGCAGCTGAGGTCTTTGAGTGCAAAAGCACCAATTCTTTTGAAGCATCTGATTTTGCTTCAGGATTGGTACACCCCCAGGTCAGCAGTAATGAAACTCAAAGTAAAGAGAAGTAAGGATGGTTTCAGACAAAGTGAGAATACCATACAGGCTAGAGGAGAGCCAGTTAGAAATAAAAAGGTTCATACAAAGTCTATGGATGGAAAACCTAATTTTATTTTTAAAGTCTTCAGCATAGACGAAACCTGTTCTCATGCAACTGGATGAAGTCCTAGTTATCATATTTGTTTTCATGGAGTGGCTATCCCAATGGGGCCTTGACCTACCTTGACCTTAAATCGCTCCTGGATGATCTCAGTCCCAAGCAAGCTATGAGGGCATGGATCTGCAGCAAATCAAGGTTCAAGATTTGGGTCTGAAGGCCAAGAGGCATATTTACCCACATTAACTTCCCAAGCTCTTGATCCATGGATTGACCTCCACCACATCCATGTGATGGGGATAAGATGGGATCTGAACTCATGGTACAATCAAGCAAAATGGATTGCAACAATTTTCATATAGTTGTTGCAGTGTGTGAGTAAATGCAAAGAAAATTAAAAAAAAGTATCATCACAAGGGAAATATTGCAAAAGAAAACTTCCTCCCTAGAATGCTGACAGACTGGGGTATCCCATCACTAGATTTAAGATCCACAAATATTCAAAAAAGCCTTTTAAATACACCTTCCCAGAACAACAAAATAAACAAAGCTCACCTTCTCCTTACTTGGGATTGCATCAAGCATAACCCCAGGAAGAGACTAACATTCTGCTTTACTACTTAAGTTCACACTGAAGGTTAGGGAGAAAGAAGCAAGAGCGACAAGGAAGGAGGCAAGGTCTGCTAACAGTTTCCTGATGAAGGTGATTAACTCGTAACTGTTATACGCCTAGCTTAGGCTTACGCGCATATCTTGAAAGTTCCTGCTAAATTCCAAACTCGCCTGTGTGAGTTTGATATCCCAGACTCCTTGCTCTGGGAACGATACGGAGAGATCTTGCAGAGAGAAGATGATCACAATAGATAACGTCCACTTCATGGCGATTATTCAGTTGTATTAGCTAAGTTCCCCGTTGTCAAACACAAAAAGAAGTTTTTTGTCGGTAGGGAAGCAAAGCTGGCAAAGCATGTGATGAGTCAGGCTGCCGCCATCTTCCTACAGTCAAGTCAACCCCGTCATGTCGCCCGACGTCGGCGCTTGCCTATGGTACACCCAAGCCTCGACGTCCCTATTCTTTGCGTCAGCGGTGCAACTGCTGTAAACCTAGGGCATTATTTTACCACCGATGCACTGCAACCGATGCGCAGCGTTTGCAGCGGCCGGAAGATGAGATCCTGCAATGGCTGCGTCAATTGCCACGTGACGTCCACGTGGCTTTTGCTGAGACAGGCACAATGATGCAATTTTAAAGTTAATTGGCTGGATGTCTTCATCTTGCTCGAAGTCAACTTGTGACGCGCCAGCAGAGCAGTGTTGAGCTTGTCCGTTCTAGTTGGTGGCTTTGAAATTTAATTGCCTTCCGACTTAACACTGACTCCCGCTCACTTTAATGCCAGACTAATATCGTACCTAAACTCTGGTGGCAGAACACGCTCAGAATAGGTGGGACGATAGTCCAACTGCTACTTCGTCCACACATCCTTCTTTTGTTACCTGTTTTCACTATTTCATTCGGGGTCTGCTAACTGTTGTGGCTTGAAATAATAGGGTCAAATACATCATTTTGAAAAAATGGAGGGGGGGTGTCATGAACCCCTCAGTTCTGCTACTACTGCCTGAACACTTTTGATGGTGCACCCAGTAAATATCAGTTGTTTCCATACTCCAGACTCTTTTATAATTAGCAACACAGGATTTTGACCAGATTCATTTCATCCTACTGGTCTTAACACATTCTCTGCTAACAGGAATGCCAGTGCTTATGTTGCCTTATGTTGTTAATAATCTGTTATACATATTCAGCAATAAATAAGGTAATATAGAGGAATTACTGAGAAAATATCAGAATATCTTTTCTGTAAATTATCTGAGGCTAGCCAGCTTGACTTGGATGGCTGAGCAACTGATTGGAAGGTGAATGGGTTAATGCAGGGCTTCTTTAGCCATGGGTCATGACCCCCTTTGGCGTCACTGAGATCATATTTGGGGTTGCAAATCAGCAATGAAATGCCAAGTTATGTTTTTTTGTGATTTTAGTGCATAGGTGGGGGAACCTGTCAAGCTTCAGCCAGTGTTTGGGGTCCTGAATGGTATGATTGTGATTTTTGGGTTTGCGTGTGAAAAAGGATGGGAAACCCTGGTTTAGTGTTTGGGACACAGGCTTTGACCTGGGGGCATTGGTCAAATGATCAAATGTAAGTAGGGGGGGTAACTGAGTGGTTGACACTTGGAAAAGTAGAGTTTGGTACACAGGTAGTAGAGTTTTGTACACATATTGGCATGATTTTTGAGTGGAAGTAAGTTGGAGGGATGGCTGGTACACTGTTTCCAGATTGAATTTGTACTCTCCTAGGTAATGGAGAATGGAGAAAGCTCAACTTCCAGAGGATCTGCTTCATCAGATGATAAAAATATCGCCCTTGTGACTGGCATCACTAACTGCAATTGATAGAGTTGTATGGGAAGGTACAAATTCAATCCATAAACAGTGTGATATTTTTGTGCCCGAGTGCATAATTTAACCCGAGGGATTTCATGCTGATGGATCAACAAGTGCAAGTAAACCTTTAGTGGAACATCGACATGCCAGGCAAAGTTGGATGACTGGTTGAAGGGTTGACAAGTCAGCTGAAGTGAGGTGACTCATAAGTTGACATTCATTGAATCCCCACTTAGGCAAATTGTTGACCTCTTTGACCCATCAATCAGTCCTAAGACTTGGAAATGTGAATACACCCTTATTATCATTCATCTTTAGCCCTTTAACAACTGCTATAGTTTTTTTCTTTACACGTTTCTGTGCTGAGTTTTTTTAAAACTTGGTATGCTATGGTTTGTGGTACTTGCTCTTGAAGATAATTCTCTCTCCTGATCATGTAAGTGAAGGACTGGACTGGTTTCAGCCATCCTATAACATCTTGTGTGTATGTGATGCAAGGAGTGAAAAACTTTTGGAATTTGTTTGTTAATTAAAGGAATTAGAGAGTTAGGGAGTTTTAAATGGTTTATATGGTATAAATGGGAAATAAATATTGGTAACCCCAAAGTAAATGCTGAAGATGGAAGTCTAGCAACATCTAGGGTTTGATCCACTGTCCAGTGGTCCAAGTGTAGTGAACTAGAAACATGAAACTTCCAATATGTCCAACACTGGACTTTTCCGAGCCCTATTATCCATTTTCATTCAGATTCAGGAATTACTCACTGTCTAAACTGTTCAGAGCCTACCTGCCTGCCTGCCTGATTATGTAATGTAAAAGCAAAGTTTCCTCCATTACAGCATCATAAAGGTTCAAATTACCTTTTTTGGTCAATTTTCACTCAGCCTGTGATATGTTAATGATTCAGTCTTATCTGCAGGTATACTTTTTTTGTTTCAGATGTTTTATGGAAAGGGTTTAAGCCTTCTGAAGAATTTGGGGGTCATCCGGGTGCCAGAGAACTTGATATCAAGGACTCATATTGTTGGCATTGTTGCTCCAAGCAGAAGGTCACACATTTCAAGCAGACAAGCATCTAGTCCACAAGATGAAAATTGTGACTTTGTCATTGCAGGAGGAGGAATGGTTGGACTTGGAATGGCATGTGCTCTTGGTAGGAACTGTTATGTTTGGAGTATGCCAGCATTATATATGAGTTACTGTCAGTGATGGACAAAAGGAGATGCATGATAGCATTTGCATCAACATGACACATGATCATAAAAGAATTTGCACTTTCAAACTCTTGAATGTAGGCATTCAGGCTATATTTTTGACAATTGCCCATATCCATTAGACAACAAAATTTGTTGTATGTATTCCACTTCAAGGAGATGCAATTGACATGCAAAGAAACAAATTTTCTCTCTCTGGAGCATACAGAATGTTGCCTCAGTAACACTGTCTGCTCCTTTTTGTAATGTAATTGCTGGTGTTTGTTGAACAAACAGACTTACTCATTGTCATTCGCCATTGGAAAGGAAAAAAAAAATTGCTTATACTATGAAATACTACCCTGAAATTTAAAGCATGCAAGAACCTTCACTCAGGCTTGGGTGGTACATCTATGTGAAGCACCCTTTAGTTCAACTTCAAAAAAAGTAATGAAATGACTTTTACAACATGATTTCTTAGTGTTTGGATTTTAACTTAAGACAAATACTGTAAAATTTGAAGCATAGATTTTGTATTTTTCCAGATAATCATGTTATGAAGTATGCTAGAGTAAAATATTGATTCTTATTTTGATACAGTAAGTGAATTGCAGTTCAAGCATCTTGCTGCAATGCCAATAATTGCCAATGCCTCCCACTTTCATGACCTTTATTTCATAAAGATGCCAACTTGAACCCAAACCTGATTCAATATTGAGTTGAACCCAGAAGGGAAATGCAAATCCTTGGCTTGAATCATCTCTGTCCTTTGATGAAACAAAATAGCTAAGAAAAGGGACATGCAAAGGAGAAATAGAGATGGCAGAGAAGATTAGAATAAAACTTACCATTCATGATCTGTGGCAGTGGTATGCAAACTGAAGGGAGGTGAAGAGTACTGTTGGGGGATATGAACTTTGGCCTTTCTTTTACCTTTTTTTGGAATTGGAGAGTTTCAGGGTTCAAAATGAAATAAAAAGAGGAAAATGCAAATAAAACCTTACAAATCTAGGAAATTCCAAGGAAAAATCTATCAAATATATTCAAATAAATTACTTAAGATATCAGATTTAGGAGTATAGGAACAGCCATACTTCCATGTTATGTGAGGATTTCTGAGACACCCTGAATATACAGGTGAAACTTGTGGTCAACTTGGATTAACTCCTTATTCCAAATTTATATGATTATTACAAAATGCAGGAGGCCTGATTTGTCAATTGCATTTAGTGTTTAGGTTTATATTAACTTCTTAACTATTTAACAGAACACAAAAGTTCCCAAGCCCAGAGAGAGAGCTGATGGACATTTGTATTCACAGGTGTGGTGATTCTGGAAATATGTTGTCAATAGTTTTTTTTGTGGTGGTGCCTTCTAGTTCACCAAAGGAACTGAATCTGTCAAGTCACCCTCAGGTTGCCTGTGTTTGATGGATGTGTCTAAAATGTAGAGGTTCATTAGCATAAAATCCTTCATCCACAGGAAGCACACAGAGCTCTGAGCATGAATTACCAGGATTCTCATGCTGCTGCTACTCTTGGTGCTATAATTATCATTATTTTCTTTTTTTTAGCTTTCTCTTACTACTGTAGTAAAAATAGTGAAGGATAGTGACTCACATGGTGTGTGAGGCTAATAATGAGAGAAGTTTGTCTTTGACAGGAATATTCCTTTGTCTAGGGAACAATCATAAAACATATGATCATAAAACATATGTTCAGGTCCATTAGGCAGTCTTATTATCACTAGTTTTCCCTAACAATCCAGTATCATCAGTTGCATCATCTGGAATGTGATGAGTATGCCTCTTCATCATTAGTTATAAATAATGAGTAATAGACATGTCATAAGTAGATACTTGAAACAGAGGATCATATGGAATCTCTTCATATTATTGTGATTATAATTTAACTTTCATGGCATAATCTTTAGGAAATAAATATACTATCAAAGAGACATGTCATTTTCTTGCTTCTGGATTTCCATTGAAGGACTGCTTTGATGAAGGACTTGCCCTTTGTCCTGTCACTTTCAGTCAAAGAAGAAAGATTGAAAGGGAAAAAGATCATCCTGTTAGAGAAGGGAGTGAGGAAAGAAGTACTACTTCAAAAGGATGCTCCATACAGCAACAGAGTGGTTGCTCTGAATCCATCTACTAAGAAGTTCCTGGAAGATATTGGAGTGTGGGATATTATTGCCAGTGTGAGATTTCAAGCTGTCAAAAGACTACAGGTGAGATATTGGAGTTTATTTTCATTTTATGAATAACATTGTGCAGGGTGAAGTATTGGTTTCACTTTCAACAAGGCCATTTATGGTCATAACAAATGTCCATTGATTTTTAAATAATAATTGTCCAATGTCAGATCATGTGTATCATAATAATGGCTGTGCCTTTAACTTCTTACAGTAAGCCATAGATGAAACCACTATTTGACACAAGGCATCCAAAACCTCAGTGGAAAACAGAAAAAGACTCATGTGGGATCATACATGCAAAGTCAAGGAAATTACATTTTGAGGTTTGCTTATGAAGAGAAGAATTTGACCAAGCATAGGCAGGCTCACGTTCCCAAAGGAAATTGGTTTACCCAAGTTTGAGCATGTTTCAGTACTGCATGGTGAAATGAGATAATTTTTTTCTGTTATGAAGAAAAAGAGTGAGATTCTTTTCCTTATCTTTGCTAATTCATGTTTTTTTTCTTCAAACTTTTCTAAATTTGTTATTCTGACATTGAACCTAGATAAGGAATAGTTTTATTGGCATTCTTATTCCTTTTATTACTTGTGAATGTTATGGCTTGATGATCAAGGCCATACCTACCATTGGCTGTGAAATGTTATCATTGCTATTGGATGCTAGCCAATATTCTTGATATTGAACATGCAGTTTTGCTATGCATATTGATGCATGCAGTTTTTAGGATACTGATATGGAGGCATTCAAATTGAAAACCTTTTGCCTGAATATCTGATTCTTGCATGAAGTATGATCTTGCTAGCAGTTATGAAGCATATAAGGATTAGCAGTTGACTTCCAGATGATCTGTGTCAATTTACTAGAGACTTGGTGTAAATACAATTTCAGCTACTCTGACAAATTTAATGAGGGCAGGAAACTGTAAGACCCTGATAATAGCAAGTTAGATGTCTGGCAACTTTCAATATTGTTACACTTCTGCTTACCACATACAAGGTGTTTCAAGAGTAACTGTGCAGGTAGAGCAGTGGTTCTCAACCTCCCTTTTACTCCCATAGAACATCCATGTGTTCAGGTTGCCATGGCACACCGGTTGAGAACCACTGCAGTAGAGACATACCTGTCTTGGGCAGAAAGATAAGTCATTCAGAAAATCCATTTATTGATAGTAATTAAATACAACAAAAACACCACAGGAAAAGGAGGTAACAAGACCATTTTGAACTGTTCATGAACAGTTCAGCAGCAAATTCATATGAATTGCTGAAAATGGGGAAAAGCTATTTCATTTCAGTGCACAGTTACTTTTGAAACCCTGTATAAATATGATTAGCACATTGAGAAGGGAAAACCACTCTTAAAAGAGCAACTCATAGTTATCTGTTTCCTCTGCTCTTGTACCCAGTATCTAATCCTGAGTGTATCCTATTCCCCTCAGTGCACAATTCAGGCTGAATGATTGGCTCAATATTGGATGTAGAATGGTTGAACATAAATAAAGTTTCTTTTTGGGACTGTAGGTATGGGAGACTCACTCAGATGCCATGATAACTTTCAATCATGATGCCCTGACTGAAGACGTTGCATATATAGTGGAGAATGACCTCATCACAGAGGCTTTGTGTCGGGTTGCAGAGAATGAGCCAAATCTTGATCTTAGGTTTCAAACACAAATCAAGAATTATGATGTTCCTTCTGTGAAAACAAAAACCAATGATCTCCGATGGGCAAGAGTCACTTTGAGTGATGATTCTATGATTTCTTCCAAGTTACTGGTGAGTGCTGATCTTGACTGTTCTGGTTCACTTGTATGAGTGATGATGTCCCAGTTTTAAGGAAAACTGATACTTTGAAAATTTGATCTAGCCACTATCATACAGCATGTATGTTACATTCACTACCTCTTGACTCTTTCATATGGCAATGTGTGATTCAGTTTTGCACCCTGAGGCTTTTTAGTCACATTTCTAATTCTGAATTAAGAAATTGGTGATATCGTGATACTGTGTGAGATGTGATCAGCATTACCAATCCTTTTAAAACCTACATAACCCAATCTGACAAAAAATCAGTAATACCAATTTCCTCTCTTTGCTCTTCCCATGATTATAACAAAAGCTGAGGTGCCCCAAACCTTTTGATCATTGTGGTCATGGACATGATAGCTGCAAAATCAAAAACATATGGAGCAAAAACCAAGTCAATGCTGAGGGGGGGGCAGGGGTTTGAGTGGCAGCTTTATATGTGCACTGCCTCATAAAAGGTGCCAATTTATTTTTGTTAATTTTTCCATGCAGTATCGTTTGACTCTTGCATTTTTCACATGAGACATCTCAAATGACTAAGGAATATCCTTCTTGCAATTAAAAAATTTCACCCAACACTTCAGTCGCTATTATTTTTTAACGTTCAAGTGTCTGAAATCACATTGAAAAAGTAATCTGCATTCTACTAATCTTAACCCAATAGTGCACAAATTCTGATATTCAGTTGAAAATTGGCATAAACATACTCTGCAAGCCCAGTATCATTCTTCATGCTTGTTTACTTCTTATTTCCCCATGTAGCAAAGTTATTTTATATAATGCTGGATATTAATTACTTTTAGATTATATTAATTTAAAATATATTGTATCCTATTTATATATAATTTTATATAATAATTTCAATGGTATTTTCATCAATAATAGTACCTCAAAAATTTTTATAAAAGTTCACTTATATTCACAAAAAAAAGTCTAAAAACAGTTTCTTAAAATCAATCCTGCCAGGTTGCTGCCAATTTTAATCAAAGTCAGATTTGGTCAAGGTCTTTTTCTTGTTGATATGTGGTGGTATATTTTTACTGATATATTTGATATGCCATTCTAGACCACCTGAATTGTAGGTCATCCCAAGAAATAGCTTATGAGAACCCTATTTGTGGGAATGTTCCTAAGATTTACCCAGGGGCATGAGATACTGTCTAGGAAAATGGCACTGCCATGCTTTCATCATTTACAGTGTTTGCTTTAATGTTAGGGCATGATTTTTGAGATCCTTGTAGATATTAAGCTTAAGTCAGGTAAGTCCCATTGGCACACTCTAACATGACTGAATGCCAGGGCAGGCTTTCTCAGTGAAGATTTGTTTGAAGATTTTCTCAGTGAGTTTTGATACCTCTAACTACACTATTACAGTTTGGTTACATTTTGAGTAGCTTATTTATTAGTCTTTTCTCTAGACAAAAACCAATCTCCATTCAATTCAAATTGAACTTAGTTGAAACTTCATGAATTCAATTGAAATAAACTTATGCCTCATAAGGACAGTTGATGCAAAATGCACATTAGTTCAATGATTGGATGGGCATGTTAAAGATATCTGTTGAGTGCTGATCATAAGTTTTTGAGCAGTGCTTTAGAAATATTGGCTTAGATGCAGCAAATAGCACATGTGTGATGTTATTACTTCAATGCTGAAATAAGGTTACTGGCATAGTGCTTCACCAGTTGCCTTTCTTTTGTTCATCCAATATTTGTGCCTCCTATTTATGCCAATAACATCATGTCAGCAATACCCCTCATGAGACTTGTTGCATATACATTAATAGTATGTTCTCCCCATGGTATCATGAGACTGTTTCCCAAGTTTCACTGAGTTACAATGCATGGTTTTCATGCTGGAGTTCTGTCTACTCTTCAACTGACTATGATGAGCTCCCCATGTAACATGCATGAGGGACACTTCAAAAGTTTGCAACCAGCATATTTATTTTTTGTCAATGAAGGTAATATTTTCAGACTTTCCTGACCTTTAGGATAGGTGAGTGGCTTGGTTCATCACAAGCTTGGCTCCCATGGCATGGGTTCAGATCTGGGTTCGAACCCAACCAAGTCTAGCATTAATTTCCATGTGCAAGCCCAGGCATGCTTGGGAAGGGAGACTCCTCAACACTTGGAACTCCCATCTTGTGACATGGGATGTTAAAGATTCCTGGTGGTGAGGTTTGAACCTGGATAGCATATCTCTGGATTAACTGCATGAGCCAAATCAAGTCTCCCAAGGTTACTCATATTACAGTGTTTTTCACTTGAGTCAGATAATTTTTCACTTGACTTGGACACTCATGCATGGGGTATTCCTCATGCATGAGTGTTGAAAGTCAAGTGAAAAACACTCTAGCTCACATTACAGAGGGGAGAGTTTAGATAGAAGGGTGGATTAGCTGATGTTCCAGAGTGGGAGCATAGTTATGGTCCTAGGGCCTCTTGCACTTGGTATATTATTGTAATGAATCATATAGAAGTACCTGCACAAAGTACAAAGTTCCAAAAAATTTTTTTTTTAACCAATTGCACTTATGAAAGTCTTTCTGGCACAAGATGATGAAAGCATCTTTCTAGATTTCTTGGTGCTCTTCCATGGTGTCAAGGTCTCTTCCCACCCATTTGTTCCATCATTTTTTAGTAGGACAAACATCACAAGGAGCGAGGTCTGGCAAGGAAGGTGGATGAGGCAGTTTATAGATCCCTGCCCTCCACATGAGTTCTACCAATCTTGATGCAATGTGTGCTGATGTGTTTTCATGGTGTAGAAACCCCTGATGAAATTATTTCCTTGGTCAAAATTCTTCCAATCTATCTAAAAGTGATGGCAGGAAGTCAGAGTGACAGTCAACTGAACATCAAGTCATGTAACCTGCTATGCCTGCAGATGTGAAGAACACAGCAATTTCCTTCTATCATTTATGGATCTCTTGTCAGGGATTGGAGGCTGTTTCTTCTGAAGAATCCATTATCGAGCGTGGTACTTTGTCAAAACAACATGATGAAGCCAGATGTTGTTTTGTCAGATGTAACATCAAGTCAAACCCCTTGACATTTTTGCAAACTGCTGTAGCAAGAATTTGCAGTTCACTCTGATAGTTTCCTTTTACTTGCGTATGGCGTTCAAAAAGCAACGAAAGGGGAAAATATATAAATTTAGAGTCGTATGTTGAGGCTAGACAGCCAATTGATAACATCTGGGTTTGCTTGGTGAAAAGCTTGAGTCCTTCCAGGAAATACGTAAATCGGACAATGGTTGACGATGTGGTTCATGGTCTGTACTTCGTCACATTCGCAGTTAGTGATTCCCTGATATCCCATTCATGTAGTAAGTGGCCGCACCTGCCGTGCGTTGTCCGAATACGGTTGAGGGCGGTCCAGTGTGTCCGCTTTAACCCTTTCAGACCTGGCGTCCATTCCAATGGACATTGCATTTTCATTGTGTCTATGATAATTTCTTGGAATTCTCGTGATTTTGCACCCCAAATTACGCTACAATGGGTGCAATTATGCATGGCTCAATTCTACCGGACACCTTCTTTCACCCGTCCGTTTAGTAATCTTCAGTTAATTAAATGTATATAATATAATATATGGTATGATATGGTAAATTTATACAAAATATAAAAACGATATATTGGACATAGAAAGTTAAAGTGCAATAGCAAAAGAGCTCAAAAATGCAAAAAAGTATATTATTCCGAAAGCGGCCTTAATTCAGGTCTGAAAGGGTTAAAGGGAAGCCTGGGAGTTCCACAGTGGGATCTTCGATTAGGGTCTTGTTTGGCACGGCTGCTGCAGACCACTGTTCGCGCCACCAGCAGTCGGCGTCTATGCCACTCGATGACAGGGCGGAGGCGTGGGTCCAAAAGGGGTTTCTGGACTTGAGGTGCAGTGTTGGGGGCCGGGATATGTCCTGGTGTATCGGGAGGTCACGGTCGGCCATGATTTTTCCATACTCTCTTAGTACGGCCGTTTCTCTTCTGACGTTCCGGGAGGAGGAATCTTTGACAACCCCGGTAGCCAGGAGAGCGGAGTGGACTTCAGGGCTCCACTTATCAATCTCATAACAGCGTTGATTTTTGTTTCGACTCGCCGGGTGTGTGCTCTTTTGCTCCATACTGGCGAGCAATACTCCGCTGTCCATAGCAAAAGAGCAAGGGCAGATGTATGGAGGCTTCAAGCGTCGCTTCCTCATGATATTCCGGCGAGTTTCTGGATGATGTTTACCCTCGAACCCGTCTTCTTTCCAGTACTTTCGAGGTGTTGGCGGTAGCTGAGGGTCCTATCCAGGGTAACCCCGAGGTACCGTGGGTTATTGTCGTGCACCAGCGGACTTCCACGAAACTTCAATCTGAGTGCTTTTCCGGCCTCGGAGTTGTGAAGGTGGAAAGCGGAGACAGATGTTTCGGCGCGTTATGCTTGAGGCGCCAGGCGCGGAAGTATTCCTCGAGCGTCCGAAAGTCCTTTTCGAGGGTCCGTTCTGTTGTTTCTACCGTCTCCGCTTGGGTGGTCATAGCGATGTCGTCCGCGTAAATAAATTTCCGGGATGATGTTGATGGGATGTCGCTGGTGTACAGGTTAAAGAGCACTGGTGCGAGGACATAACTTTGGGGGAGCCCATCGTTCAGCTTTCGCGTGCGGCTGGTCTTCTCGCCGAGGTGTACACGAAAGTTGCGGTAACTCAGCAACGCGGTGATCAGGGAGACGGTTAGCTGGCAGTTGATGACCTTTGCCAGCTTCAGCAGGAGGCCTTTTCACCAGACGGTGTCATATGTGGAATAAAGAATGCTGCTCCTGTTTTCAGTTTGCGCTGAAAGCCGGCTTCAATGTGACACGGGTCAGGGCTAGTACCTGGTCACAGCAATTTTGGCCCTTCCTGAAACCAGCCTGCTCCTTGGAGATGACTGCCTCCAGGGTCGGCTTCAGGCGTGCCAGAAGCAGGCGCTCCATTAGCTTATAGGTTATACTAAGAAGCGCAATCGGCCTATAGCTTTTCGGGTTGTTGACTACTTTCCCTGGCTTTAAAATGGCAACGATCTTCGCCGCCTTCCATTCTTTTGGGACTCGTCCAGATGAGTTGATGTTGGTGAAGAATGCTGTCAGCCATGTCCAGGCAATCGGCCCAAGATTTTTCAAGGACTCTGGGATTACTCCGTCGAGCCCGGCCGCTTTGCCAGATTTGGTGTATGCCAGTCCCTTGTTAATCTCCTCAAGGGAGTAAAGAGCGGATAGGAGAGATGTCGGTTAGGACTTGGGTTTGATGCGGTGGAGTTCTTCGTACACATGCTGTCTAATATCTCTCCCCACCGGTGCCTTTGAGTTGGCAACCAGAGCGGAGGCGACAGCGTCTGGGGTTACTTGCGGCGGTTGGTAGGTCATTTGTTTAGTTTCCTTTGGATCAGTCGATGGATGAGGAACTCACCATGCCCTGTGCATTTAAAACAATGAGATAGGTGTTATCTCATTGTTTTAAATGCACAGGTCTCTTGTGAGCTGTGAGATCCTGTAACTCACAAGAGTATCAGTGCTGCCATCACCATCAGTCTTAAATTTCCAATGCTCAGTGTTGGGCGCGTTACTTTTGAAAAGTAACTAGTTACAATTACATGTATGTAATCCAAAAAGTAATTAGTTACCAGAAGAATTACTTCTCATCAAAAGTAACTAGTTACAAGTAGAAGTTACTTTTTAAGTTACTTTTCCTGAACAAAAATTCCGATCTTTCTACAGCTTCTCCACTTCTTCGACAGAAGCTGGATGCATGAACTGAAAGCGAAAATTACCCCTGATTTCGCGAAAATTGAATTATAATCATCACTTAACGGGATAAATACTCATGCTCACTCTTTTCCTGTGCCTCTTCCCTTTCTATGGGCTACTTAACAGGAATTATACGCCGATAGACAGAATGCACCCTTTAGTTTTAAAAAAGCCAATTTTGCCATTGGTGATGGGGAGACCTACCCCAGCCTGCCCCTTATCATGAGTTCCAGATAGAAAAATAGAACAAACCAAAGTCACGTTCTCTTGTTTTCCCTTAACCAGACATGGACTGCATGAATCCAGCTCATACAGTAATGAAAAAAGAATAGAGTGAAACCCCACCTGAGAGATTTCAGGAGAGAAAAGTATTACCTCTAAGGTGGGGCTAGACTCTGTCCCAGAGGTGCCTGGGGGCGACTACCCCCCCCCCCCGTAAAATACGCCACTGCATCGATGGAACTCTGTATTCGTTTCTGACCTGCACATCGAAATATGTTTGCAGGTACAGCAAGAAACCTGTACTGAATAAATCATGTTTTCTCAAGGCAATTTCATGTTCCCGTCTTTCCTCCCAATATTGCATCAATTAGGATGCATGTGGCTATGAAGCACTGGTTTTTTCAGCTAATTTAGTAAATCATCAAGAAAAGGAACGCGTTAAAGTAACGCCACATACTTTTCCCATGAAAAAGGAACTAGTTACCGGTTCCGTTACCCTCCCCTGAAAAGTAACTCGTTACCTCAAAAGTTACTGAAAAAAGTAATTAGTTACTGTAACGCGTTACTTTTACTTCGTTACCGCCCAACACTGCATATGAGTGATGCATGAAATCGCAACGGGGCTCAAATACCGAGCAGAAAGTGAAGGCCTCAAAAGATGACAACCTCAGAAAGTACTACCATAGAGTAGAGAGTATAACTAGAGGTGACACTCCGCTCGAATCCCATTCATTGATAGGGTCGCAATGATTTGTAAGTATAGAATCTCATGTGGAACCTCCTTCAATGGCCTGAATGCTATACCTCACGTCAGCATTTGACGTTGGTCCAACGAGGGTGTGCTGCATGGTTTGCGGTCGGACAGTCAATGACTGTAAAATCATTTTTGGTCTATTGAATAATATCGAACTTGCATGGCATTCGTATAGATGAATTTGTGAAGAGGAGCTCTTTGGAAGAGGAGTTGGAGGAATTGCGATTGAAGCACGAGGAAGTCGCGACGGGATTCGAGTACTTGCAGGCATTCACGAGCAAGCAACTGACCGTGTCGACTGCATGCGACATCATTGGGATTATCGCTGCATGTTACTTCTCCTTTTCCGCCTTTCTCAGCGGTAAGATTTTGGTCATCGCGAAGCAACACACGGACCGCAAAGGGTTAAAACATTGTGGATATATGCCCGAGAGAACACGCCGCGCCATGCTTATTTTAAAACTTGCATATAAAGCATTGAGTACATTCAAGGTACTTGATATAATCCTGATATATCTTACCACTTAATTTTGTGTGCTGCTAATAGCCTCAAGACCTTTTATTATTTGCAAGTATATAAAAGTTTACTGCCAACGCAAGCAGAAGATGATATTTTCAATACATGTTTTGGTATGCTTATTTAATTGAAATTGTATTGTTTTTTACTGTAATTTCCGTACTTGATTCTGGCAGGAGGTGGATATTATTCGGGGCTGTCGGCATCGGCTTTGGCCTCGCTGTCCGTAGGATTCGTCCACACTCTGAAATTCGTTTGGATAGCCGAACGCAGTCACGAACTCGTGGAAACGGTGAGGTCCCCATTCTCCATCCAAGAAGACTTCCAAGAGAACATTATATGCAAGGGGCACTACAAGTTATTATTATTCGACCCTTGTGTCTTAAGATTACTTGATGTTGATGTAGATGCTTTGAGTTACTTGATTGACCTAAAGTAGCTACATTTCTCAAGGAAGAAAGCATTTGAAACTTAAAGTTCAACACTTAAAGTTAGACTCATTCGACTCAAGAATTCTGCTATTCCATCGATGAGATGCAGCTTCACTCAGAACATTTGAGTCAAACATTTTCAGCAAGCTAAATGCTGCATCAATCAACACGCTCTTAAACTATTGATATTTCCCAAAAGTAGAAGGAAAGATGTTGTATGCTCCAGGTCACTTGGAAGCCGGGATGATTGGCATCTGGAATATTCCCAACTGGATCCTTGATCTTAAAACTGAGTCAGGTTGTCACTTCATACTTCAGCAGCTAATAGTTGCAAGCTTTGCTTAAAAGGCTATAAATGGGCTAACCGAAACGATCTGCAACTGTGCTTTTCCGCTCTTGAAGACTGCATTCTAGCATTCAAAGGAATCTGTCAACAATGTCACCGTGCGAATGAAATCTGCGGGCCAATCAACTTTTCTTCCGATAGGATGTCTCTTTGGTATGGTGTCTCTTTTCTTCGAAGAAAAAAAAGTACGTATTTCTTTCTCCTGACAAAAGGAATGACCAATTACATGATGCAAAGTTAGTGACTGGCTCCTAATAACGACTTATTCGGCCTCGCTATAAATAAATCATTAATAGCCTGGCATACGAAATATGTAAATCGCACAGGCTTCCTTGGGGAAGAGACATCTGCGACGAGTGCGGCAATCGAAGCTGAGTCCGTCGGAGAAGCATGAGGTATCTACCTTCTTGAAGCAGTTGGATCTCGCCCCTGTTCGACCTACTGCTGCCGGATTCTTCGATCTCAACCGGAGTCTTCTTGTCTCTGTACGTCTAACCCTCCAATCCCAATGCTCTGCGAGAAAAGATCTCACAATCAATCAGATTTGCTAAATTCATTTATAGGTTTTCCAGGTCAAATGTGGACAAAAGAAAGCCAAATGGGCCATGGAAAGTCAAATGTGTCACTGAGCTGCTTACGAGTACCAAAAATGACATTACGGAAAGTCGAATGCGTCGCTGAGGTGGATGTCGGATTTTAGGGAAAAACTTGTTCGACAGAGAAAAGTAAAATGCGACAGATATACAAGGTATACCATACCTATTTTAAGGGAATGCCTTCTCATTGCATTTTCGCAACGTGTGGCTTCAAGCACATTTGCATATGATGCTCCAATTGCAAATAAAATTATTTGGCAATTATCGAAACGTCAGGGTCACTCCTGGGGATATGCAGCCACCTTGCAGTTTCACAGAAGCGAAGGTAGCCAGGAAACTGTCATTTTGACTATTCATAAAAAAAAAACTTTATTTTGGTGAGATTTGTATTGCCAATTGGTCAATTTGATCCCACGATGCCAGTTACACAATGAACAAAAAAAAATACCAGTTGAGGGTTAACAATAAAGAGAGCCCCATATCTTCCTCTGTTATTTCATGTGTAATCTGGCCTATCGCCCAAGAAATGGTTGGTGGTTGCATATTCCTATGACTAACCCATACATATTGGCAGTGTTGGGCGCGTTACTTGTGAAAAGTAACTATTAATAGTTACAAGTAGAAGTTACTTTTCAATTTATTTTTCCTGAACAAGTAATTCTGACCTTTCTACAGCTTCTCCATTTCTTTGACAGAAGCTGGATGCATGGACTGAAAACGAAATTACCCCTGATTTCATGAAAATTGAATTACACTGAACTGGATAAATTCTCATGCTCGCTCTTTTCCCTGTGCCTCTTCCCTTTCCATGGGCTACTTTACAGGAATATTATATGCTGATAGTCAGAATGCACCCTTTAGTTTTTAAAAAAAGCCAATTTTGCCATTGGTGATGGGGAGACCTACCCCAGCCTACCCCTATCATGCAGAGAAAAATAGAAAAAACCGAAGTCGTGTTCTCTTGTTTCCCCTTAACCAGACATGGACTGCATAAATCCAGTCCATACGGTGTTTGCTAATGAATTTTCATTAACTTTTGACAATGTGCGTAGTAGTTTTATGACGCAATAAAAGAGATAAGGGTGTTTCGACCATGAAATATGGGGAATTGGGACTAAGGTGTTCATGTTAAAAATGGTACAAATTAACTTGTAGATCGCTACTTGTTAAGCTGGAAGTGGAACTACTTTGTAGTGCAAGTGCTAGGCCTGAGTATTAACGGAGTCTAACTAATGATGGATCGTTGGGAGAGTGATAAAAAGGGGCACTTGAAATATGGCGAGTTAACCAGGGTATTCCCGCCCGCCGAGCCTAAAGGGGATCGGACAAAATTGAGGGGAGAGGTGCCAACGTTAGGCATACGAAATGTTTCCGTGCAGATACACTATCAGAACTAAAGCAACGTCTATCGTTCAGATCTAACGTTAGACCAAAAGTTGTCTGTATGGAGTCAGGACATGATGGAGCTCATCCAGACATGCTTTCCCAAGTTAGATGCTGAAGTTCGTGCGACGGAAAGTACCTTGACCATCAGTAAACATAGAGAGAACTTCACGCAAAATTTTGCATCGATGCAGCGGCGTATTTTGGCTAAAGGGTCGGGGGGGGGGGGGGCAACAGAATCAAACCCCACCCAAGTGATATCGGGAGAGAAAAGTAGCTATTACCTCTAAAGTGGGGCCAGGCTATGTCCCAGGGGCGCTAGGGGGTGGGGGGGAACTTTCCTTAATGTCACTTTTGACGCTTCCAAACAGCACAGCGAAGCATTTGAATTTCCTTGTCGCATTTGCCTTTCTTATTACTACATTTGATCTATAGAATCGGATAAAGTTTACATGAGTGGCGACGCGTGCTATGCAGCAATAGTGATTTGCCAGTGGAGAAAGAGGAGGCAGGCCTCCTATCTCTCCACTGACGAACTACTACTACTTCCTCATATCACGAGCTGCCACAGGTTTGCATTACTGTTTAAATTGGATTTTTTTTCACAGCACAGAAACTTCAGTGTGCTCCTCTTATCCCGGATTATTCTTTTTTCCTCAGTTCCAGGGAAGTTCATTTTCAATGTGTATAATCATCAACGGGTCTTTGAAAATGAGGAACTATCTCATGCAGGCAGTGGGAGCGGTGCTGACGTATCTCATCGTGCTCATCCAATACAAGGTATCAATAAACTCTGGAACGACTGGGAACTGCCCTGATTCTGGATGAAAGTGTCGTTATTGTTCCAAAATGGCATTTTTCATCGTTCGATGTCATTCGTTGTTCCTGTTGATTCGCGATATGCATTTGCAGCATACACCATGATTGAACACAGATTCAATAAGACGGTATCAATGAAGTCAATAGGCGTCGTCAAGTGCGAATGTATACATTGCTACCCATGCATGGCTCACAGTCTACAGTGGCTCTACCTGTCCGAGAATACATTTAATTCATTTCTTGCTGTATTTATTGCATGTGTTTCTTTAGTCTCCCACATGTGCAACATTCGACAATGACGGGCTATTTGAGCATTTTGGTGACCCAAAAGTTCTGGCACACATGTAGGTTAGCATATTTATTTCAAAATCTCAACAATAAATAACCAACTTCGTGAAAAAAAACTATGCCCTAAGATGATAAAAAAGTGTTACTGTACAAAAACTGTAAAGATCATGAAATTTTGTCGCGATGCAAATAATTTTTAAAAGCATAAAAAAATGCGCCAGGACTTTTGGGTCGCCCTGTAATAATAGAGGCATAAATATATATTCCTGCATGTAAAATTGCAATCATGAGAATTGTAACTGCAAACCAAATATTCATGCTATAAATGAGGAATGACATTGGCCTACATCGTACGATGTATGATCTAGGTTAAGGAGTGCGAAACTTCAATTGGTGTAAATCCCAGATTCACAGAATATTATAATATTAGATTGAGGAAACTCTTCAATCTTGGGCATGAGGTCTGTTTCAGTAGTACCGGTACATATGTTCATACATTCAGTTTTTCTATAATGATGGATACGAAAAAAATAAATTCATGAAGACCTTTCGTCACCCCACCTTAAAATTATAATTTTCACTGAATTATGTAGGCGCTGTGCGGGACGTAGCGATGCCTCTGACTGACTGGTGCCATTAATTCATTGTTAAAGGAAGTTTCCTAGTTTATTGCTAATCTCCAACTAAAAATAAATAAAAGTGAATTGGATTCCGATGGAGCTTTTCAATTGACTTATCTTACAGACTCGAAGGATGAGAAGCTAAACGAAGGGATCCAGTTATAGAAAGGTAGAGGGAGTTAGGAGTGGGGGAAACCGAATCACCTTTTCTTTCTTCAAATTTCGATTAGATATTTCTGCTTTGCTGTCAGTTACTTAAAATTCGATTCTTCATTTTCAGTATTTTTTAAATCCCAATCACGAACCAAGAATAATTCAGGAAGATACAAATAAAAACCTTGGAAGTGAAGCATTTCAAGTAAAAAGGTGGGAAAGAAAATTCCTAAACACTTAGAGCACTGCACCCGTCATGCGACATCCTGAGCCAATTGCGCATTCAAATTGCCAGGGTTCAAAGTGTTAAATAAGAAATGTCCTGAAAGAGATGGGCTTTGATTCGACGGTTCTCGGAGCAGTCCAACATACCAAAAAGGTGTGTACAATAATCTTGAATCTCTCATAGTAACCGACATGCGACCATTGAGGAGATCCCCAACGAATGAATGGAAGGAAAAGCTGAGATGATGAGGCACAAGTCCTGTTCTGTGAAACGAACTCATGCCCGGCTGTTTAAACGACCTAGTGGAGAGATGAGAAGAGACTTGAAAATGGAGACAGTGAGGGAAAAAATAAGAGCATTACCTTGGGGCATAACCGTTGGGCCCATTACCGAAAGTTACTTTCAGGGCTTACCGTTTTCCGTCTCTCATCAACCAATCCCAACTGAACTCAATGGATCAAGTTTGAAGAGAGGTGAAGGGACTTGCGGCATCAATCGAAAAGATGTTAAAACTTGTAGAAGTCCCACCCTTTCCCGTGGAACTCACGTGTCCGGCGGGACGCATGTCATCGCTTTCAAGCATCAGACACCGTTTCCCTGGACTTTGATCACTCTCACTCTGAAAATAACCGATAATGGAAAACATTAGATTGGAAATACTAGCGTATAGACTCTGTTGAACATAAGAACGCAAGACACCTTGGAGGAAATAAAATATCCACCCTCCACCAGGAAGATTTTTCTTTAAAGGTATATTCAACCTTCATTCTTAAGCTTATCTGTGAGAAATAGCATTGCAGGACATGATACGACTCTTTTCGGAGACCCCCAGCGAACGACAAGAATCGCTCCACGACAACACGAGGACACATTGGTTGCCCAGCGATATTCGCTTTCCATCCTGGATTTCCAGCGCCTCGGTCTACCTGCCAATCCTTGGAAGCATCAATCGTGGTCATAAGCTAAGTTTCGATGAGAATCTCGAAGAAAATGCTGAGAAGCGTCTTGTCCTGGATCTGCCCGTGCTTCAGGAAAGAGACATCGGATCCTATCAGTGAGTTTCTTCTTATTCCTCCCAGATTCGAAAGTGAATCCATGCTGGGCCATCATTGGAGCAGCATTTTGAGGCAGAGTGGCAAACTCCAGCCTCTATCGCGTTTCTCGAAATCGGATTGGGAAAACAGGAGGAGTCAATTCTTCACTGATGATTGCATGTTACCCCTTCGTAGAAGATTCCTCTGTGAATCCCAAATTCTGCTCGCCCAAAAACATTGCCTATAAAATTCCATTGAAATCCATTCCAATTGAGAATGAAATACACTCGTATGCGTTTCCTTTGTGGATTAGTGTCAGCACGTTTTGCTAGAAAATTTTCCGAAACACAGGAAAATTGTGACGGTTTCTGTTCGAGCAGGGCTTCTCTGTTTATTTGTGGCCTGGTCAGGGTTCGAAGAGGGAAATTGCAATACACCAATTTACGCCTAAAGCTCTGAATTTTTAATTTTAAGATTTTAATGACAAGCGTTGCTAATGATGATCGATGATGAATCATTGTAGAAATCGACTGGAGAAAAATTTATGAGCGAATAACTATTATTAACAGATATTCGCAGCCTGCAGGCAGGCAGGCTGGCAAGCAGTCACTGAGATCCAACGGGTCATCTAAACAAGCTTTCTGCCCTTTTTCTAGCCAACCTCACTATTAACCGAATTCAACCCCCACCTTTCCCTCCTCCCCTTCGGCATATGCGTCCATAGTTAACATCTCTTACCAGTTATGGCTCAAGCTATTAATTTTCAAATGGAAAATTTGTGCTCTGCTCGAAAAAATAAGGAACCTTTTCACTCCGGGTCCTGAGTCCAAGGTCTTTTTTATTTGTTTATATATTTTATTTAATTTTTTTTTTATAGCCCGAGGATCTGCCACCTATACCAGGCTGAAAGAGCCAGAGCGGTTTCATTTTCACGTGCTGAGAGAGCGTCCCCGTCATGGCAATACCCTCTCTTGTTCCATCTTCCGACGGCGCAACTTGCGAGCTGTCTCAATGGATCTGGTCGCTCCGATTCTCTCACGAATGGAGTCCGGATCCTTCAGTAAGACGGGGTGCCTCGCCTACCAAGGGGTTCAGAAGAACATAGAAATCCATGCGCATATCCTTCCTGGATGTGATTCCATGAAGGATATTTTCCAAATCATTTCAAGAATTCCTGAAAATTTGAGTGGGAGCACAGGAGCTCTGTCTTAATTTGATCTTAAAAGCAGGAGATGGGGTCTCTCAGTGCATAATATGATTTGGATTACTTATTTACTGTTAAATTTGACTTCGCACCTGTAGCCACTGGTGAAACATCCGAGTGCGTTACGGAACGAGTTGAAGATGATGGCCAACATTCCGGAAATCAAGCGGATCACACCGAAGATCACCATAAAAGTGGAGATGCTGGCTGTTCGTTGAAAGAGCTAGGCCAGAATGGTGAATATATGCTCGGAGAAGATTATCAGGGGGGCGAAAATTATGACGTTAACATTGAAGAGGAGGATGAGTCCGTAGCTGATGTCGCAATCGCCAAAGACGATCCAGCATCGTTGATTAAGGTTAGGAAACATTTTCCTCTCGAATTCAAAGGGCTCTTTACTCCTTTTAAATACGTGTTGCGATAGTAGTAGAACAGTCACAATTTTAATGGAATTCCTGAAAATATTCCTGGAAGGCAATTTCAATATCACCAGGAGTGAGATGCAATTGTTATACGACTTCAATACCACCTGTCCTATTATTCCTTAATTCGTCAAGACAAAGATTGTAACTGATTCACTAGAACCAAACCGATCACCAAACCCAAAACGTAAAAAAAAATTGATGCTATATTGCTAGAAACTAATGCGATCCTTGTCACATGAAAAAATTAATCAATACAACCTAAAAAAAAATCATTAAGCATAAACAGCTGTGTGTATCAGTTGGCGATTCGTACTCCAAGAAGTCCCCTTGCCTTGTTTTTGGGGGGCGTGATCTCAAACAGTTCTTCGAAAATCATACATCAATATGAAGGATATCTATTATTCTGAAATGACCCCTCTAATATTGGCAGTGGCCAAGGAACTGCATATAAGACGGTATGCTGATAGAGATAGAAATTGATTGCCTTGTTCAGGGAAGCGCGATGGAGCCATGTCATCCATTCGGTGTGAAACACGCACGGATGCGGGGTGGGGTGTCTCATATGTACCCCGATTTTCGATCCTTCTCTGCGGTACCCGGACCCACTGTGTTTCGACCCCACAGGTGCCGAGACCGACCTCACTTCGTTTCCATCCTTTACTACAACACATTATCAATACAAACCTATTCTCTCGACGAATTTCATCTTGAAGTTCGAAGGGAGAATCTCTGTGAACAATACCTAGTACTAAAGCCCCTAGGAAGGAAGTTCTCAAACATCGCAAATTATATTTTTAGTCTACATTTCTGAGAGGAGCTTACTCTTTCCAGTCTTGTTGGGTTAATTTCTTTTTTTTTACCATCTCTAATACTCCATAAATTTCTTTAGATAAATCGTTGAATTTTCTTTCATGGCTTGAGGCTTCGTCCTTTCCTCTATATTTCATGATTCTCTGTCGGGAACATCTAAGCCTATACATTTATATGATATATTACGGCATGAAACTTTTTTTTAATAAAAACAGTCTTAAATTTTCCATGATTTGTCGCAGAGACCTGTGTTCAGGAGACTTGAGCTCGTCTCCTGGATCTAGCACCCTGCATGCCATTCCTCCATGTGCCCCCATGAAAGGTCACTACATGCACGATGACCTGGATGTCGTCCCCTTCGTAAAAGGGGTTTGGCTTTACACCCATGAGGGTTTGCTGCAACTCCCGGTACCTGCTCCAGAATCCTCGGAAGTCCTTGGTTTCAGCGTGAGTCGCTTCAAACTCCGTCCATTCACAAAAGCGATGAATAGAAGCTATGAAGCTAAGGTTTGGGCCAGGAAAATTTTCCAACTAGTGGAGTCACCGGTGTTGTCCCTCATATGCCCTTCTCCTCTTCTGAAAATCAGGAGGGAAATAAAGGAAACTATAACATGAATGTAACATGCAATCGCTAGATAGCATGCGTTCATTCATAATTTTAGTTTCTAGCAATGCATGCCTATTGTTAGTCCATGTACAATACCCGTGAATTGGTGACTTGGAATAGACATTAACTAGCGAACTAATACCACTCAAAGTGAAGTAACTTTCCTTATAGCCTAGTTAATTTTTTTTGTTCTCCCATGCAAATTCACAGAGCTCAAAGAGAGACAATTTCAATACCTGTAGCATTAAGTTGCAAGTCAGAATCCGTTCCATTTTACAATTTACTCTCTCCCCTCTCCCCTCCCCCGGACAGAAGTAATTTCCTGATGACATCGTTCTTTGATGGTGAATGAAAACCAGAAAGTTTGCTTGCCATCGCAGTCTGGTTTCTTTGTTTTTCCTTCTCCTGTCTCCTTTCCCTAATGCAAAGATAAATTCCTCAGGGATGAATGTTCATCCTCTGCATATCCCAACCAAAATACTTTATTTTATCTATTTCAAAATCGAGAGGTCAGAATCAAGTTTAGAATCTTAGCGGTAAAGCAATGATATTACCTAACCTCCCGAGCGAAATGTTTCGAACATAATTACTTGAACATGGTTAAGAATGCGCTATAACTGCAAGATTTTCATCTGTTCAGCTTGACCTCCCAAATTCGAATGAGGAACAAGAAGCATTGAAGGACATCTGTTCGCTTCGATCACAATTGGATGAAGCTAACACCGAGAAGGAGGCAGCGAAAGGCCAGATTCAAGTTCTTCAACAACAGCTTCAGGTTCGTCCTTAGTTCGAGTTACCTTCACAAAGCAGGTAGTGGGTTGTCCGTGATAGTGGGATAGTGTCCTTTGTCCATTCAATTTTCGTTATGAATACTCAGCACTCCAACTGGTGAAGCTTTCCAAGGTCAACTGCGCATTTCTCGCCTGTTGCAAGATGAAGAAAGAACATTGATTACATTTATAGATGAGGTTAAATCTTCATAACAAAAACAAGTCAGGCGGTTAATGGTTGTTAAGATATAAAAAGAGAATCTCAAGAAGACGCGTTAAAAGCGGAAGGTCGATAGGAACTTCCGACCTTCAAAGTTTTAAAATGATTGATTCCATTCTTTCCTTAAATACCATGAGCGACATCGGGATCCTCGGTTTCTCCAAACATTTGAGGGGTTCCATTGCCTTTAATACCGAGTATTTCTTCCGCTAGACTGAGTTTCACTTTCATTTCTTCCATGCAGTTTTCATTCATTTACCTATGCATTGGTATTAGTGGTATCCAAATGGGTATTATCGCCTCTTGATACCACTAACCCACCTTGAACCTTGAACATTAAATCGCACGAAATGAAACTTAGTTTCATTGCTTCTAAGACTCCCACTAGTTTTCATAATTTCGCTGAATGCATGAAACAAGGACGGTTCAACAGCTCGTAGTGACGCAGAAAATAATCATTCAACCTATCAAACAACTTAGAAATTCAATAGCCTAAGAAATATGAAGCAAACATTGCCACCGACAGTTACGATACGATGTCGAAGGCAAACAACTAAGTGGAGTGCAACAGAATCCAAAAAATGTATTGATCGTGACCTCTTGAAGCAGATCCTCATTTTTTCTCCCTCACCAACATAAACCATCAAATACTAACGAAAACTGCCAGTTAGCTTTCAGAACTCATGTAGATCCCACTCATTGCTCTTTTCCATAATAGTGAAGTCGCTCATTCAATGTTGCCCATGACACTTTTTCTTTCCCAAAACAATTTAAAGCGAGAGCGAACTTAGAGAGAACGTCTCGGGTATTAATCTCGTATGATTCCCGCCTCAGGACCTACAAGGTCTGGAAGCTGAGCTCGCTAAAGCCAAAGGAGAGATTTTCTTCTTGGAGACGATGCTCTGGCAAGCAGAGGTCCACCGGGAGCAAGCCGAGGATCAGCTGAAGGAGGAGACTAGGAGGAGAAGCCACGAGGTAGGAAGAGTTCGTCTCATCTGCTCACAATGATATAGCATAATAGTACACGTTCAAAGAGATATTCACGTGAAGTGTATAACCCTGTACATTCGGCTTGGCGATGTTTTCTTTTTTTTTCTTGATTATTACCGCAAATTTAATTTTCTTTTTACCATGTACACTTGTTCCAGAACACATTTGTTACAATGATGAATGTATAGCATCTCGATTCAGGCCGTGAAGCCTCAAAAAGGCTTCCAGAACAGATAAGGAACCCTTTTTAAATCTAATGCGCATAGAGTGAGATGGTGAGGCACTGATTTTTCTTCTCCTTGCATTCAGGTTCTGGCTGGAGGAGGTGGTGCAAGAAGAAGCGCTCCTCCACCTCCAATTTTCCTCCGTCCCCCACCTACAACATTTCAAATGAGTTTCGATAGGTGGCATGATCCTCCACCTCACAACGACCCAGCCCTTTGCATCAGTGACGCCCCTAAAGGGGATCAGGGGGTTCAAGTCCCTTGCTGAATGAATCCTCCATACATGTATATATTTTTATTGTGTACGTACCAAAGTGCAGGTGAATGTATGTATGCATGCATGTATTCTGCATGTATGTATGCTTTTTTATACCTACCATGCCCTTGTACATATATATATATAACTTTTTATAGCCATACAGAGTTGATTATTTATCCTATTTTTATTCGGAGTTGGAGTGGCTGAAGCTGCCCCTCGCTATACTCCTGGTCAGTCAGCCTGACTGGTACTCTGAAATACAAGCTGATTGCACTCTGCTTAAGGTGGTAGGGGAGGAAAAATCGACCGTCTGGGATTCTAAATCTGAAAAGTAATTGTTGTAGGGGGTCCCTAGGGAAGTGCAAAGAGGGGTCGCACAGTCATCTCCGACCCATAGTTTGGCCAAAAGTCCCAAAAAAAAACAAAGTTGCCGCTAGATGGCTATTTGATGAGTCGAATTCAAACGACTACAACTCGGAAACCGTTGGCATGAGGAAAACGCAAATAACGTATTTGGAAAGCTACGACAATCTACTTTTAAATGAGAGGTCGAGATTCAAGCTGACTTAAAAGGTCAAAGGTCAAACGGCCATATAACTGGGACTAGCCGAATTTTTGAGAACGGTATTTCGACCGCCATTCGGGCCACAGATCCACCACAGACAAAAGCATGCATGCGATTTTATAGGACCTATCGGTCGATCTGTACACCAAATCTCATGGGCCTTGTACAGAAAATTTTGGAGAAAAGTACCGAAATGTGCTCGAAATTGGGGGAAAAAACGCTACTCCACGTGGTTTTTTTTTGTTTATCTCAGCTTCAAGGCAAAAATCGGGAAATGTTCTCTGATAGTTCGATAGGGAAGAGTTTCTAGATTGCAGGGACGCCAGAATCGTGTTTATACCTGCAATGGTTCCTTCGAAGAGTTTATTCACAGTTGTGCATTTTTTAAAGAAAAATCGCCCCCCACTGGCCCTTGACAATACCATCACCAGAATGCGTGGTTAGTGGTTGTTCCCTGGAAAGAGAGAGGTGAGCGGCTGCACTTCCTTGTTTTTAGGGAGTAAAACCGCTAACTCCAGTTTCGCTCCCTTTCGAGGAAATCGCTCACTTGTTTCTAAGAGTGTTGAAAAGATCTACTCTGGTGGCGCACAATTTTTTACCGCCCCACCTAAAAGAGTCTATTCCCAGTCACGTCGCTGGCTTTCTTCGAATGAACGAAGCAACCTTGATAGATATGAATCTTCGGAAGGAGTCTATGAAAAATCACCATGATATCTACCCGGACTCCCGGAAAATAAATTACGTTTCTGACAGGGATAAAAATCGCCCCCTTGCCAGATATATCTAACGTCGAGTACGAACGNGGGGGAAAAAAACCCCCCCCCCCCCCCCCCCCCCTCGTCTCCGTCAACGTTTACGCGCTTGCCACAGAATGCGAGTCCTGGCTCCTCAAAAGCAAAACTCACAAAATCTTTTCTAATAGATCGATAGAAAAGACTCTCTGGATGGCAGTGAGACTTCGCTCGTCTCTTTGCGGTGGGTGGTTCGCTCAGAAAGTTCATTCAAACCAAATTGATATTTCGCCCCCCATTCAACAAAGGTGTCGAGAAACGTCCAAAATCGCATTTCAGACGTAACTCGTGAAATTTCCTCTGATAGATCGATAGATATGAGTGCCTGGAGTGCGTGGATGCATTCATCTTTGTGATCTATGCTCTGGTTTCTTCGGAAAATTCATTCAAGCCAAGCGTTTCCGGCAGGATACCCACCGCCCGCCTCCACCGGAGCTAGGCTTTCATCGGCGCGGCCGATCAGGTATCTCTGCTGAAAAATTACCACATATTTTTTGACACTTCGACAGCAAAGGGTCTCTCGAGTGAATCGATACCCGAAACACCACTTTTCTCTACCTGTTCACTCCTGATGTCGCTCGTTTCCGATTGTTTTCCACCCCTCTCCTCCCTCCTGTACGCTTGCGTCTCATAGCCTCCCTGATACGACTCCCATACTGAAATCCCGTAATATTCTCTGATAGATCGATGGAGGGGGTTCTCTGGAATGTATGGACACATTCATGTTTGCAATGTAAGGTCAGGTTCCCTCGGAAAGTTCATTCAAGCCGAGTGTTTCCGGTAGGATATCCACCACCCGCCTCCACCTGACCGGGCTTTCATCGGCGCAGCCGATTAGGTATCTCTGGGGCAAAATAAAAAAATTTTTTTTTACACGTCGACAGTAAAGGGTCTCTGGAGTGTATCCATGCCCGAAACACCAACTTTTTTCTCCCCGCTCACTCGTGATGTCTCTCGTTTCCGACTGCCCCCCAACCCTCTCCTCCCTCCTGTACGCTCGCGTATGAATGCATCCCTGATACGCTTTCAACATAAAAGTTTTTCAAATGTTCTTTTAAAGATCGATAGAGGTGGTTTCCTGGAGTGCATGGACACATTCATGCTTGCAATGTAAGGTCAGGTTCTACTGCAAAGTTCATTCAAGCCGAGTGTTTCCGGTAGGATATCCACCACCCGCCTCCACCTGACCGGGCTTTCATCAGCGCACCCGATCAGGTTTTTTTTTTTAAAAACCATTGAATATTTTTCGACACGTCGACAATGAGTCTGACACATGTATTTATGTCCGCAACACCAAATTTTCTGCCTTCATTCCCTTGGGATGGCCCGAGTCTTGCATTGATGTCGAATCAAAGGTTGCGACTTTGGTAGGTCTCATTAGAGCAGTGGTTCCAAATCTTTTTTTAGTTGTGGCACACATAAGGACTCTTGAACTTTCCACGGCATACCCAGCCATTCACTTACTTTCAATGGGAAACTTGTGCTTGCTTCGCTGAACACAGCAGTTTTTATACGAGGCGTGATAATGCAACTCCAAGCTTGTTTTCCACTGATTGTTTTCTCTCTTGGTCTTAAGTTTTTTTTTAGTTTTAGTTTTTAGTTTTAGAATTTCATCGTTGCCATAAGGCTTCTCAGGTGCGGAATTACTAACTTCGAAGTTGTATTTGCCGACTTCCGACCGAAAAGTCTATTGTCAGTGGAGCTGCATAATCGCATGGGGAGTCTTATCATATCGAGTCGATCCGACACGTGATGTAGGATTATATGATATACCGCCTTCGGTAGATTGAGAGGTAATAAAAGTGAGGGATGGACATCGTAATGGAAACGTTTCTCTTGAATAAACATTCCGAAAGAACCAATGCAGAGATCTTGAGCATAATAACTCCCAATGATTCGACATCTTGGGTCTTACCAAGCATAGTTTGGCCGAAAGTCCCAAACTATGGGTCGGAGGTGACTGTGCGACCCCTCTTTGCACTTCCCTAGGGACCCCCTACAACAATTACTTTTCAGATTTAGAATCCCAGACGGTCGATTTTTCCTCCCCTACCACCTTAATTTAAAAAAAAGAAACAAAGTTTGGAGACAAGGTTGGATAGTCCTGACCAAGAACGAATTAGTTTTGCATGGAGCGCTCTGAAAGCAAGAGGAACATGGAGAATCAAACTAGTTCAAATTTTCTCACCTGGTATTTATTTATGCATATCCAAATATACTAAAGCCAATCGACTAACAGCAAAACTCACACCAAAAATGGTAAGAACTACCAACCCTCATGACCTTCAGTGGTAATAAAAATGCAATTGGCTTCACCGCTTGTGGAAGATTACACGCACTATAACCTGATAAAGGTACCTACCTCCATTGAAGGGATGTCCAAGGAACATCATGAGAGCTGTGATTCAGTTTTTGTGTACAGTAGGTGTGAAACCACTTAATATCCATATCAGAATGGTAGCTGTTAATGGTGAGACATGTTTTTCCCAGAGATGAGAATATGAATGGTGAAAAATTTTTGCGGCTGATCTCTCTATGTTAAAGATAAATCCACACCCAAATGAGCCAATGTCATCTTCACAGACAACTACATTGAGAAGGTGGATGAGGTGATTAGAGCAAACATGCATGTTTCTGCATGCATTAGCCACAAAAATGTGGGTCTGCCATGGGTGTGTGCACACAATTGTCCATCATTGCCTTCAGTACCTTTTGGTGAATGTCAAATGGACACTGAGGTGCCTGATCAAAGCCCAGACAAACGTTTGCATGAGCCTTTGTTACACATCTGCAGCACTACTAATACTGAAGGAACAGCTTTTTGGTCGGAATAGTGGTTTGTGATGAAACCTGGTGACATCATTTTGATGACACCTTATGCAAAGGGCATTGAATGGCCAGGGATACCACTTGGGCAAAGACGTGGTAGAGGCAGCAAGAACATGGTACCACCAGATGTCATTGTTGTTTTATGGTAACACCATAAAAAAAAGCAAGTGTAGGGTGAGCAGGTTGAGCAGGGGGAAAAGTGTCTCAATGCCCAAAGTGAGTATTTCTAATTGAATTAGTAATTACTTACTCCTTGCAAGTAATGGATCCTTGGTCTTGAGACTTGCATGATTTGAAGGCATCAACTGATAGCATGGTAACATGATGTAACATGAACACAAGCAACCTTG